GTAAATATACAGACACGTATCCGTTCTTTTTTCTCTCTCCAGAAGGATCATCCAAACAGTGTGTTTACTTGCTTTTCTCAGATATAAAAGAGCCCCAGGCTTTGGATGCAGCAAGGCCCCAGCTCAGTCCCCCACCCTCTAGCTTTTAAAGTGCAACTCCTATCATCCCTGGCCGTTGGCTATACTGGCTGGCCAGAGCTGATGCAGTCTAGCAACTTCAGGCGGGGCAGGGTGGTCTGCTTCTCAGCGAAAAGGCTCAGTAGCAGAAGAGCCTTTCCCACCACTGACCCTGGGCAGCTGCCACTGGTTGGTGCAGCCCAGACTCCTCTTCCCGACAACCGATCCTGGGGTTGCAGAACGAACAACACTGGTCAGGCCCTTGCTGGGAGTCCGGTTCCTGGAGGGGTCCCCTGACAACCTGCTTGCTCACCGCCTCTCCATCTGGCCCTCTTGGTGGTGGTGATGGGGAGATGTTGCCACCTTCTGGCTGGCAAGCCAAGGGCGGAGATTGCAGTGAGAAGGTCCCCTGTGGCCCACGGGATGTGCCTTGCCTGGAGCCCCTCAAAAGGCTGGAACCAGCACTGGGCAAGAGGTGAATCTCAGAATGTTCCGATTCTAGTTCCCTGCCAGCTGGTTGGAGTTGTATGCCCAAAACCTCCTTTCTGTTCTGCTCTGGATTATGCTGCTCAGGCCACAGCAGGCCGTGCCTACTTAATTGGCATGGTTTACACAGATCAGAATCCGGGTTTTCTGGGGGCAAAACATTTACAGTTGACTTAGTTTTCAAACACACATGTATGTCATCCAGGAAGTCCTTCCCTAAAGGAAGTAAAAGGAAGCAGGGCCTTCTCAGTGGCTGCCCCCAACCGTTGGGACTGGCTTCCTGAAGAGGTCCACCTGGTGTTATCACTACTTTTGTTGTGATGCAAGGCAAAAACTTCCCTCTTTCTCAGATATTTTGATACTTGATTTTAACACCCGATTATAACGGCTCACTCTGCTCCAGCAGGTTTCCCCCCCTCCTCTCCCTGTACTTGTAATGCTTAATCAATTGTAACTGATGTATTTTAATGTTGTTAGCTGCTTAGAGAGCCCTGCTGAGATATTCAGCAGCATATATACCTGAAAATAAGTAATTAAGAATGTCACTGTTCAGGGTGACACTAGCTGGGATTCTGTAATATTCTAAATTTGGACCTGGTGGAGGAATGGTCCAAAACTTTCTGTGACACCGTTCATGTTCCAGGACTGTGGATGGCTGTTCGAGAAACAGCTTGTCCTGGCTGGAAGCACGTTCCGGAGCGGAGGAGAAGGCCCATCTGCACAAAAGCAGCAACGGAGATGGACGCCCATGGAACAGTTTGATTGCACAACCAGCTGAGGCCTGTGGCTGAGCTCCATGCCCTGGGGGGGGGCGGGGAGTATTCGCCTTCTGGTCCAGCAGGGATGCAGTTAAAGTTCCATGCTCAATTGGTCACATTGCAGGATACAACTACAGCCCAGCTGTTCTGGGGATGTGAAGCGATTTCATGAGAGACAAACAACGCACGATGCCTTGCCAAAACATCTGGCCCTGGGAGCCCATAGCTAATTGCTTACATTTGCTGAAGCAACTACAGGTCCAGACTCTGGTGGATGGAAGCAGCAGATTCCACATTCTCTGTGCGGTGCTTCGGCAGGGGTGCCGAGGTTAAATTGGATGCATCCCATAACAAAAACGCAGATGTTGGTGCTGGTCCCAATGGACGGTTGTGCCAAGTTGTGGAGCACAGGCCGTTCTACTGCATAGGCTGCAACGCTGGCCGAGGTCCAGCACACTTCAACATTCCTCAAGGGGGTGATGGTGGAACAGGTCTGGAAGCGTTTGTGAAAGTACAACTACAAAGCCGCCATGCTCGCTGCAGTCTTGAGACCTGCTGCGGACGGCAAAACTCCAGTCGGAGGCCAGTAGATGGAACATGGATATTAAGTTGTTCAAACCCTTCCAGAGACAGATGACACTGGGAAGAAGCGCACGGACTTGACATTTGGAGGTTGGAAAGCGGTCCCTAAGTACAACTGAGATTCTAATCAGTCTGTAGGATTTCACTCTCCAGCTCTGGTTATCCAAAGATTTATGGTACCACACCACCCAGCTGTATTTTCCCTTCCTGTTGCTCCAGGATTTTGCAGAATGGGACATTTTCAACTTGGAAATTTTGGAGATTCAGGGAATCTGTACTGTTCATTTACAGAAATGTTGTCTTTACCACTGACCAGCGATTAATGTTCTAGGCAGAGAAATCCATCTCATTTCAGCACTTCCCATTTTGAGTTCGTTTTATGCGTTCATTTTGCATTCGAAACAGTGACAGAGTCAGTTTTTCCAATGATACCGAACTGCATAGATTGCTCAAGAAAACCACCAATGGGCAACTCACACATTCATCCCCCCTCCCCACCAAGAGAGCGAGCTTTCACTTACCCACCCCTCATCCCTGCACATCATGCAAGAAAACTCACTGTTGCACCACCATTTATAATGAGAGTGCTCCCGCTTTCGAATGCTGCTGCTTCCAAAGCTATGCAAGTCATGGCAACGTAAGGCAAACCTGTGACCTTAACATGCATGCGCTTCCTCAAGCATTTCCCCCCTGCAGATACATTGCCAGCACTGGTTGCTTGCACACACAGACCACCCCTGATTTCCTTCTGTTGAGAAATGACAGCGCGACAAATGACCGAACGAACTCTGTTGCTTTAGCACCAGGGGGATGCAACGGATACGGTTGCTAGTGCTATTTAAGTTCTGCTGCTGAGCTCACACACACTTGCTGCTTCCTGCGAGTGCAACACTGATTGTGCCAGTGGCCAGGCACCATTGGATCCTTCCCCAGGAGACACACGAGTCCTACAGAGTCTTTAATGCACGATTTTCACTAGGAAAGGTCACTGTTTGTTGCCGTTTCTCAGGCTGGGTCCTGAACCTGCCCCAGGCACCACGCATCAGGTAGAGCGGAGATGCTCCCTGCAAGGACATCAGACTGGGACCTACCTACTCGTAGGTGTTCCAAGATTCCTCCTCTGCGCTGATGCATCTGCCCCCGCCTGCTGCCCTCCACAGCCCTTGACACCTGGCACGGGATGCTGAGTGGGCTGCCCCGTGATGGGGCAGAGCACCCTTCCAAAACGAGCAGAAGCCAACAGGAGCGGCTCCAAGCCGCGACGGCATCACTGAGCGGAAGGCGGCAGCACAGGCCTCTGTGAGCCCTCCGTGGCCCTGGAGCTTGGGCTGCTGGGGGCTTGGGACAGGGTGGGAGACTCAGCCGGTGCTGCATGCCCCTCCGGAAGGCTCTTCTCTGGGGGATGAAGGCAGCCCTGCAGAACTCCATGCCAGACCTGCCCATATCTAGGGTCCTCGAGGTGCATTTGGGGGATCCTGGTCCTCGAGGGAGACAGCTATGGATCCTGCCACTCTTGCCCTGTCATTCCCCTTGGACTCTGAGGCCGCCAGCCCAAGCAGCAGGAACGCCTCAAGGCCCAGACTTGGCCTGCTGCCGGGACAAAGGCACTCCCTGAGAAATAAGGAATCCACATGAGGGAAGGCACGCAAAGCGAAGCCCTGCTCTGGCCCCGGCTCAATTCAGTCGCGCTTTCCTGCCCCCCACAATATACTTTATGCGCAGCAACCACAACTGCCACGCCAGCTGCATTATGCCCTGCACAGGATTCGGATCTTCTGCAGCAGCCTCCCGCTGGCTTAATGCACCCGTCATGCGATGCACCACGACCCTACCATCTCTTGCAGAGCGACTGCGAGCAATGAAGTCGGGGAGTCTGGCCTCAGCATGCTCCAACTGGCATTTGCTTACCTGGAACAGCACCTGCCGTTTCAGTGCCGACTCTCCCAGTTTGGAGAGATCCCTCTGGAATTCTTTGCCGTTCCTTCTTGTGGTCACCACTCCTAACATGCTGGTGTCTTCAGCCAACTTTGCCACCCGTTTCCTGCTCTCTCCTTGGACCGATTTTCTTGGGATTCAAGGGCAGGAATCAGTGTGTTTGTGGTTCTATCCCTACACAGCTGCACTGCTGTGAATAGCCACACCATTTATTTTTAAACCATTCTGCACAGCTACAAAAGTACATTCAGTAACTGGACTTAAAAAAACGAACAACAACAAGGCTCCCACACAACAACAAGCTGCTATACCTCCTGCATCCTGTCTTTCTTCTCCTTTCCCCTGGGCACGGTTGGGTTTTGTTTTCACTATTTTTCACTGCTCACCTATGCCACTGCCCAGCATGGAATGATCTTGTGTTCCAAACCTCAGTATCTGTGGAGCACATAAGATGCACGGATATGTATTGGACTCTGAAAGGCAAAAGCCAAGCAAAAGCCACCGCGACATCAAAGGCTCAAGGAATGTGGTTCTGCCACACACACAAACAATAAACACAGAGGCCAACACAGCAAAGGAAAGAGCTCTCGCCGGTGGCTTGGATCACCTTTGGGGTACCTGTTCCGTAATATATCCTTGGGACAAGTTTCTGCTTTAATGTCTCCCAGCTGTAAAAAGCAGGGGAATTCTTTTCTGGGATGCCTTCTAAATCCTTAATGATGTGCAAGGTTGCGGTGTGGGTTGTGTTTGGCTGCGTGACGGTGGCTGGCTATCTGGTGTGGATCGGGAGCGCTGTCCATCGGGACTCCATCCATCACCCCATGGCAGTCAGCAGGACCCCACAGCCGGGACCTACGTGCACTCTGCGCCCTCTCTTTGTGACTGGTTCTGCCCCAAGGCGGCCAGCAGGTACTGACTCCGACTTTCAGCCGGCACTTTACGCTTTGCTCGAGCTGGCGCACACAGGAGCTCGGGTAAGAACAGAGACACAAGCGTGGATCCCCCAAGCCCAAAGCCAGCCCAGCCCTTGGCTGCCCGGACTCCAGCATGCGACCTTCATCGCTTGAAGGACACTCAGGCCCATAGGTCGAAATACACAGATTCTGCACTTCACACAAAAGATGCCATTTTGACATAAATGTGTATCATTTATTCTCATTTCCCCCCGTAAGATTCTGGAGAAAAAAAGGCACACAAAAGGGAAGCAACAGGAATATCGGCTTTTGTCAGGATAGTTCCAGGACTCTCTGTTAAAATCTTTGTTTTTAAAAAATAAATTACAAGAATTCCAAATTCATTACAGATTTTTTTTTTAAAAAAACACAATAATCCAACTCCATACAAAGGCAGGACATGCTTTCAAGTACGAATGACACGGCTCTGGCCCTTCTGTACCAAGGAGGGAACCCCTGGTTTCATAGACTGGGGAGGGTGGGGTCATCCTGCAAGAGGGGAGGAAAGAGCACTTGGGAGTCTGCGTGTTGGATCTGCATCCAATGGTCATATTGATTCCAGAGGTGAAGATGTGTGCCTATGCTCAACCTCGTGACTCCCAGATGTATGGTACTACAACTCCTAGCATCCCCAGCCAGCACAGCTCTTGGCCATGTGGGCTAAGGATGATGGAGAGGTGCAGTCCACCATCAAAGGAAAGGTGCCAGGTCGCTCATAATGCAAGTGCTGGTCCAAAACACCACGAAGGGGGTAGGTCTGCCCCCCTCCCACACGGCACAGTTGCGATTCCCTCTGATTAAGGGGGACAGAGGGGTGGAAAGAGGCTGGGGAAGGAGGAAGAGCAACTCTGCAGCTCTGAAAAGTCTCCACAACATCTCTGGAAAGGAATGGGGACGTGTACCGCACTTTCACCCAGGTGGCTCCTTCGAATGAGAAAGAGGAGCCCTGAAGAGGAAAGGCAGAGTTCCCCCACGGCATCAGGCTCCTTTCGTAGAAAGAAGGGATGCCGCGCAGGTGCCCACGGTCTGCCGTGCGGCACTCACAGAATTCCTCTTTGGCACTCGCGGGGGACGGGCAAGAGGCGTACCGCAAGGCATCCGCTGGCCTTGCTCTTGGTCCCTCAAACCGAACGGAAGCCGAATCTGAGCCGGCGAGACCAGGTTCCCGCCCTCCAGAGGCTGGGATCCGTTTCTACCTGCAAAGAATAAATGTCTTCTGAGGAGGCCAGAAAAGGGGGTGTCCCCCAACTCACTGGGCCAGTGTGCTTCCTAACTCCATCACTGGGTCAAGAATCCAGGAATTCCGAACCTAACAAGGAACCACCCTTTCTTGCAATACTGTGGTGCGAGACCCTGTAGGTTGAGGACCTCGGACTGGGCCCCGAGTCCAAAGGCAACACTGAGTCCCTCGGTGAGCAAAGGCGGGGGCCAGAGCGGAAGGTAACGGCAGTGGCTGATGCGGAAGGGCGGGGAGGAGGGGTCATCTCGTGACTACATCTCTCCAACATTACCGACAAAATCACTGTTAATATAACCCCATATAAAACTGAAGCAGCAGCAATTTTAATGAAGTACCTAGATTGAAATAAGTTTTAGAACATAATTTAAAAAAAAAAAACCCGAACAAAAATCCCCCAGCAAATGTAGCAAAATATATGATTTGTTTTTATAGCAACTGATACCTACCAGCCACTAGTAACTTACTACCAAAGTGATATTATCTCTGGTAACCACCATTAAAAAAAAGACACGTAAATATATAATTCATATTTATACATTTTGCAGCTATGTACACACAATTTTAATTTTGCTATTCTCTTCTGAGCACTGCTTTCATTGGCCACCTCTCGACTCACTGTCAGAGCTATGAAGGATCTCGCTCTGCTTTGTACCTGGTCTTTTCCACATTTGGTCAGCAACGCGCCAGTTAAGGCTGCGATCCTATGAACGCTTTTCCAAAAGCAAGGCCCGCGGAAAAAAGCGGGGCTGGCTCTTCAGAATGCACGTCCACAGGATCGCGCTTTAAGAGGGCTGGGATTAGGAACCGGTCCCAGGTATGGATTCCAGGCTGAGGCACACGTGAGCTTTAAGACTTTCCAGTTTGCAGCCGGATCGGGGACGTCCTGCCGGCCCCGGCTTCACACGTCAGCTCTCCTGCTAGCTTATTGAGCTGTCAGAGGTCGAACTGCTTAGCTTTGCAAGTAAGAAAGAGAGAGCAGAGAAGCTCCTCCTCTTCTTAGGAATGTGATTCTTCCCAGAATCCTTCTCAAACGCCGCTGTCTGGAACAGCATCTGGGACTCCTTTTTTTGTTTTTTAGACACTGGCCAAAAGGTGGAGAGGGGGGGGAAATGACACAATTCAACTTAATCCACAGGGAGGATCCAAGCCCAGATTCCCTACGAACGCCTCTTCCGTAGGTCGGGGGCTTGCGGTAATGGCAGCTCTGAGGAGACAGCAGCAGTGGGAGGGCTGGTTATTCGGGATGGAAGTCTCTACAGGTCTGTAACGCAACAGCTCAAGGGTGACGGGGTAGCTGCCCGCAGTGGCACTCTGCCACCAGTCTAGCTGGGACAGAGGTGCACACACATACGCGAGAAGGTTCACTCGGTCACGCTTGCATGCCGCACATGCATGCGCAGAGGGCTTGCACATGTCCTGGGGAGCCACCGCTTCAGCGCCTCTTGAGTCCGCCATTGGAAAGCTGAGGGGGGTGCTTGGGAAGGCAAGGCTCGTCAGGAAGGGGATCGTGGGAAAACACCGAGTCCTCCCCCGAAGAGCAGGTCGAGCTACGGGTGTCTGGAAAACTGGGAGAATACTGGTCCAATGGCATGGAGAGGTCCAGATATTCCTGAAGGGAATGGAAGAGTTGGGAGAGTTTGGTTACTGAGGGAAATAATGGGCACCTGTTTTGTGCCAAGAACTGGAGCTGGGAAGACAGCGTTGGCAAGAAGGCCCCAGGGAGAAAGGAAGGTAACCCTGCAGAGGCAATTCAACCTGGATTTCTCCAAGCCGAAAGAAAAGTGGGCCTCGTGTAGCTTTCCCAGTTTGGTGCCTGCCGGATGCTTTGCAGGGCGACTCCCCTAACTTCCCATGGCCACCCTTAAGAGCACCAGGTTTGGAAAGGCTGCCCCATGGGATGGAAAGCACCAAAACTGCTCCCGTGGAGATCACTGTGTGAAACTGGAAAGGAAGGGGAGTTGTGTTGTGGCAAGGGAAGGGAGCTGGGAACTCCAGGGCCCGGAGCCCAAAAGACGGCACCCTAGGAACCCAAACCAGTGATGTCAGCCCCAGTGTTTCATGCACCGGCTGAGGGCCTACCTTTGAGAACTGATGGCTGAGGCAGAAACAAGAGGCCATACAGCCCATACAGTCAAGGCAGTTCCAGTTAGTGCATGGCTTTGTTGCTTTGCAATGTGGCTATATACCACATTGATGGCTTTTTGGCAGGCAAAGCAGCATATAAATGTGGGGAAGAAATGAACAAAGCAAGGAAAGCAGGATGGGTGGATGGGCAGAAGGAAGAAAGGAGGGCTAAGTCTGGATCTGCCGAGCGGGGTGGTGCAACGTGGTGTCCTGCAGCAGCCGGGCTGGACCCGAGGGCCTTCTTGGCCCCTCGTTCTGTGCGGTTATGTTTGGATTTGGGGAAGCCTGGTCTTGGGTGCCTTACCTGGTTGGAGGTCATGGCCACGATCCTATCCAGGTCTTCCACCAGCTGCTTAAATGTCGGTCTCTGCGAGGGAACGGCATGCCAGCAGTCTCGCATCATCATGTACCTGCGGGGAGGGGAAGGGATGTGTCCTGTGCCACAAGCAGCTGCAACCCAGAGAGAGGGAGCAGGACTGGCAGCTGCATCAGAAGTCTCAGCACGGAAGAAGCCTAGATGCCATTCTGGGCAGCACAGACAGCAGGACTTCCAAGGGAAGGGTTGCTTGGTTCCAAGTTCCATACGCGACAGAAGCTACATCTCTGAATAAAACTCTGCTTCGGCTGAACAGAGGTTGCCCGATCTCATGGGCTATGCTAATAAACGAGGGTGTTTCTAGGCATGACTGCCACAAAGAAACAACAGGGGTGCAAAAGTCAGCGGGGATCCCTGGGCGCTTAGTGCATGGGGAACACCTGAGTTCTGTGCAGGCCCTTAAGAACTTGCTCCCATCATCCCGTGCGCTACCAGCCCCAGCGTTTGGACTCTGCTCCCCCGCCCCCACACCTGCCTTTATTTTGGTGAGGATGAGGCTCCAAACCAGGCTCCTCGGTTCCATAACCAGCACTCTGTCCACTGTCTCCAAGACGGGGGAATTTACTCTTATCTATAATAGTGAGTGGTTGCTTTGTTGATTGTGCTGCCTTCCGCAGAGGGGTTCCCAGGGGTCTCCCACCCAGGCACTGACCAGTCCCAGGCTTGCTTAGCTCCCGCAAGGCCTCTGGGCTATTCTATCCCACCCTACGGCTGCGTGAACACAGGGTAAGCTCCCCAGGAAGTCCGAGCCACAGTTGTGAGCAAGCGGGCTGGAGTCTGGGGAGTGGCACCCAGGGAATCTGACCAATTCCCACCTCAAAATGGATCGATTCCTCATAATCCTCCGACTCTGTGAATGCAGAAACCCCCGTGCCAAAAATGTGTGTGTTCGAGCCAGCAATGCCGAGAAATCCCCATAACGGGCCACCGGCAGGGCAGGCTGGAACAAGACGGGAAGGGGCTGAAGGCCACTCAGTACAAAAGCCCAAGTCAGTCCCAGATGCAGCAGCCCTTCCCTGGGTCAATCTGGGATACTCCCCTGCTGAGGAAAACAAAACCAAAAGGAAAGGGAAAGGGAGCCTCCATTAGCCTTCCGAGGGGCTGGGAAAGTAATGCTGAATGCCTGCCAGACCCATAGATGCATCTGCCAACCGGCAGGGGTCCTGCTCTGTCATGCCGGCTGCTGAGCCTGATGGGTCTTTTGACATCCTCCCTCCCTCCCTCCAAGCTGCTGATGAAAAACATCTCAGAGGCACTCATGTAACAGGAGGGCTGACCTAGAGATTCCGAGTAGCACCTGGACAGATTATCCCTTCTCTCCTTTACTTCCCCTGAAAATCTGCTAGCCATGGGAAAGTCAAACATCTGGAAAAACGGAGCCTTCACAGCTGCAGTCCTCAGGCTGTGGAAGGGTCTCTCAGAGAGGGGCACCTCGCCTGGCGGGGTGGAACATAAAACTTATTTACTTGGCCTTTGGGTGGAAGGGATCGGTTGTGTTTAAGGCTGATTGAGATATACATCCCTGCAAGCTAAACTGTCAATATTTTGCTGCTGCATTTTAATTTGCCGTAATGAAATTGTTACTGCTATTTTTTGTGGGTGTTCAGTTCGCCCAATTGCTTTCGGTGCGAGGGGAGGGCCAGTTCAGAACGCATGGCAGTAACGGTCACCTTGCTGCCAAAGCTACGGCAACCGGATGGTAAAGGAACGAAATGATTCATAACAATGGCGATTCAGCCTCCACGGTCTGGACTCAAAGCAGAGCTCGCAACAGCGTGTGGCTAACACGGGAGCAGGGGGATACCCAGCAAGCACTATGAAACAGACGCTCAGAACCGAATCCCAAGGAGCAGGTGCTGGCAAAGCAAAATTCACACCGAAGGGCTGCAGCAACAGGGTGCAGGGACCAATTCCTCGCAGAAATGCTCTTGTCTGTTCAAAACAATGATCACGCTGGAGCCAGCAAGGGGTTAAAAGCGGCCGAACAAGGGTGCTCTCCACACTTTCGAAGCAGCTGAGACGGGGCTGCAACCCCGCCTCTCCTCCCTTTCCGATGCTGGAAGGGCATGCCCTCAAACCCGCTGCTTGCCCTGCCCTGCCCTGCCCTGCCCTGCCCTCCCCGCCCACCACCTGGCACTCACAGCTCGCTGGTGCAATTGCTGGGCTTGTCCATCCGATGCCCCTCTTTGAGCAATTTGAAGAGCTCCTCCACGGGCACCCCTGGGTACGGTGATCCACCCAGCGTGAAGATCTCCCACAAGAGGACGCCGAAGGACCACCTGAGCCGGGAGCAAGCACGGCGTGTGTGAGAACCGGAGCACGTGGCTCCCTCGTCGTCCCCAGCCCAATGACCTCCCACCCCAGACATACTGGGATCCCCACAACCTCCACCAGGCAGGGAAGCCTGGTACTAATTCCAGATGCTGCAATGGGACAGACCTGGTGTCTCGTCTTCTAGCTCAGCCTCCCCCACCTTGTGCCTTCCAGACACGTTTGGACAGCAACACCCAGAATCCCCAGCCAGCGGCCCTGCTGGATGGGAATTCTGGGAGTGGCAGTCCAAATGCCTCTGAAGACCACCACGTCAGGGAAGACTGTTCTAGCTAAAGGGTTGTTCCTGGGGCTGACGGTGCTTTACAGATATGAAAATCAGCAAAACAGTTGCTAGGCAACGTTCTTGGAATTCCACCTTGAGGTTCATTCTGGCTCAGGTCTGCATCATTTGAACTGCACACGTTCTTCTCTCGTGTTTGCGAGCAGGTTCTCCAAGTACACATTTTCCCATATGCATTTTGCAAATGTATACATGCTGTCCGATGCATTTTGGGGCTCATGACTCACTTGGAAATATATGGAGTTTGGCCGCAGAGCCTTTTTGGTGTGCGAGATGCAAACAGGGTACAAACTGATTTTTAAGTACACAGAGAAATGCTTCTTCCTTCAGTGGAGCCACTTTATTGTATGAATGTTCTGAGACACTTCAGGAACTTCAGGGGTGGGAACAAAAACATCCATCCCATTATATACCTTGAAGTGGTACACAACTGCCACATAAGTCGCAGCAAAGCAATAAAAATGGCCAAGGCATTTGTTGATTATAATTGTACTCGGACACCAAGGAGTGGACATAGCTTGGTGAGAAGGAGCACACCTGCACGCCAAAGGTGCCAGGTTCAACCCCAGCTGTCCCAGGCTGGGCTGGAGCAAAGCTCTTCCTGAAACCCTGCAGAGGTGCTGCCGGTCAGTGGCAACCCTCTTGAGCTGGATGGGCCCATGGTCTGACTCCGGGTCGCAGAGCCTCTTCCGTCGGTAATCACAGCAGCTGCACAAAAGGCTGTGCTCGCCTGGTTAGGTAAAAGCGTGCTGGTGGCTCAGGACCAGGAATCCTGGAGTCCCCCCCTGTCTCAAACTGTGGCCAGCCAGATGTTTCTGGGATGTGCACAAGCAGGGCAGAAAGGAAACAGCCCTACTCCGTTGGCAGTTGTCAGTTCCCGATACTCAGTGGTAGACTTCTGATTTTGATGGAGGTTCCACCAAGCACTGCTAGCTGTCCATTCATAACCAGGTCTATGGAGAATAAAGTGCCCTATGCTTTCTCATGAAGACGAGAAAAGATGCTCAGTGAAGAGCCTAAAACCCTCAGAAAGGATGAGGCGCTTGGACTGGCAGGAAGGATGGTGCTGGCATCTGAGTCCAGACAAACAAGTCCTGCTGGCAGTCAGAAAATACTGTTCCTGCTTACAGTAATTAGCATTTCATTAAGCTAAGATGAATCACATCTGGTCTACTTCACCTTGGGGAATCATACCCAGCATACCAGGCTTAATTGGAGATTCCGGAAGACTTAAAGAACAGTGATCTGCACACAAATGAGCAAGAGGCAGGGGAGGGTGGGGAGGGGAGCCCGCAGCTGAGAGCAGACTGGCCAGGGCCTGAAGGAAAGATGCTCTCCGAGGGGAAGCAATAAGCGTAATGAGACATAAACGAGTGAGGGGGGCTGACGGAGCAGCCAGCAACTCGAAGCAACAGCTGCAACTGCAGTGGCAGTGAGAGCCCGGAAGAGCAGGCCAAACTGCGCACGCCGATGGAGGCAGGCAAGACGGGCCCCCAGGATGGTCTCCCCAGTCTCCGTGCCAGAGGTGAGCTCCCCCGAGGGGCAGCAGTGCCCCGAGAGCACACGCTTTGCCTGCAGAAGCCCTCGCTTCAGCCCCCGGCTGTTTCCCATTTTCAAAAAGGATGCAGCGGGGAAACAGCTTTGCTTGCGTCTGCAGGAGCTTCGGCCAGCCAGAGTGCGCTAGGTGGGTGCACAGATGTGCCTCGGTTTAAGGCACCTTTGTGCGTTCGTGTTACAAGCAGACACAGGTACTTACACGTCACTCTGATGAGTATATATTCTGTCAAACAGAGCTTCGGGGGCCATCCATTTCACCGGCAGGCGGCCCTAGAAAGCAGGAAGATCACTGTATCAACCCGAGAGTGGTTCACACGGGAGATGAGAAGAATGGAAGATTCAGGTGGCAGAGAAGACCCGAGAGGGTTCGGAGACGCTCTGGTTTAACAGAGGGCTTCCTAGTTTGCCCTCAGCTGTAAGCATGAGGCTATTACAGGACACGCATTATAATTTGGGGAACTGACTGCCAGCTGCTAGGGTCCAAAATAAGCTGTTCCCCAGGATGATCTGGCTAGAGAGCTTTGGGGATTTTTAGTTTTCCCCAGTGCATGGGTTGGGAATCCTTTCAGGCCAGAAGTCAAGAGTGCCATTCAAAAAACTCCTTGCGGGCACATGTCAACGGTGGGTATGGCTGGGCTCCAAGTGGGCACGGATACCTCACTCTCACACCCCACAGATTCAGACAGGGACACCCCATTCACACATTCTTCTCAGTCCTCTCTCCTCAGCTGATTCACGCATACTGGCTTAAAGAAGAAGGACATTTATTTCTCATCTCCCTTTCTCTGCACTGAGCAGTGGAAAATCTCTCTTATCTCCAACCAGCTGGTGACTGGAGATAAGAGCTTTTCCCTGCCCAGACAGAGGGGGAAGTAACTTATCAACTGCAGATTCCTCATGCCTGCCATGAAGTTTGCAGCTTGCTTTGGTGGTCTGAATTTTTCTAAATTATGTGTTCTGCCAGTATTTTTCTATCATTTGAAATCAAAATGAGGCTAAGTTAATTTCGCAGTACCCTCTGGTCATAACAAAGCAACAACACAGAAGCAATCTAAACCCATTTCAAAAAGCATGTCTGAAAAAGACAAATCTGTCATGTATACGATTAAAAAAATGTGGTGCAAATTGCAAAGCCAGTTTTTGACTACATGCCTAGCAAAATCCCTTTGCTGTTGTTGTTTTGATTTGATTTGCAGGGATGAGAAAATGACCCAGTTGCTTAAAATCTTGATTCCTTACAGGCTGGGCACTGCAGCAAGCGACGTGCTTGAGTTCCCCGCAGTACCATAATTGCAGAGTTAAAGCCTATGCAGTATTTCAAAAGGCTTTTCCTTGACTGAATCATTCACTAGTGGAAAGGGCAACCGGTGAAACAAGAGACGTGTCTGTTGCTTCACTAATTGGATACTTAGAGAGTTTCGATAAAAAACTTTCCATAATCATTAATCAATTTAAACATACAAGGCTACAGTGCAGGCTTCCCATCAGATTGCAGGAAGGCATCACTCAATCCATTTTAATACGGTGCTTTAGTTGTGGCTGGCTTAATGCCAGTCAAGAATGCATGAGAAAACCTGTAAGATTGAATTAAAGCAATTTTCCTCTGGCACCAAGTATCTCCTTTTGAGGTGCTTTTTGAAATGTGCTTCTCCCTGCCCAGTTCAGGCAGTCTACGGTCTTCCGTGGGCAGAATTTTAATAGAATTAGTTTAAAGAGCCATCCATGCACAATTATCACAGTGCAGGTAACTTGGCTTTGTTCTGTTCTGAAGTGTGTCCTCTATGGGGAGGTTCCTTCCCACCATCCTGGGACTGAAGGATGAATGAAGCCAAATGGAGCCTGGTCTAGGAGGGGACAAGTCCTGGGAAGAATCCTGCACTAATCCTTCAGCTTCTCCAGAAGAAGGGGTTGGACGTAAGAGTTAATTCACTGTGTCCAAGAAGAACTGATTCTGCGACCCAGGAGGGTTACCCAGATTGAGACACTGTGTGCATCTTTCCACAATTTATTTGCCTCTGCTAGTCACCAGGAATGGGACGAGTCATGTGGCGCCGAGCCCCAACCTTCTGACCAAGATTCCAACCAGTGCCACTCCTCACACCTTGGGAAGCCGGTGCAGAACTCTGCGCCCAATTCTCTTTCTTCCTACTCCCTGTGCTTAGCGGAAATAAAGCCCATTGTGAAAATTCAGTGCATTTGCACACATTTTCTTAATCGACGTGGAACGCATGGGCCACTGGATTCAGGTTTTCTTGGGTAGAATGAGTTGCATAGCGATGTTGTACCTTGCAGGGAGCTGAAGGCAGTTCTCAAAGCATTCCTAGGTATTTGCTCCCCGGATACTGTCCCAGTTCAGACTGGTTTAGCTGCAGAAAGGTTTCTGCCTCATTCCAAGTGCCACTGCAAAGTTCCCACTTCTTACAGTGCAGAATGCAGGTCTGGTCAGGCCGGGGTGGGCCGAGGGGGACTGTACCCCATCCTGGCTAAATGCGTCGTGGCAGTGGAGAAAACTGCTCCAACATGGCCAGGTAAGTGGTGAGCAGACACCTGGAAACACCCTTCCAGAAGCCGCCAGTTCAGCCTGTATGCTACCCAGTCCTGTACTAGACAATGGCCACTTCTCAGAACAACTGGATTGCCCCTCACACGCCACTCACGTTTGTGGTCTTCTTATAATAGTCTATGTGATGAATGTCCCGAGCCAGGCCAAAGTCAGCGATCTTCATCACACTGTCTTCCGTCACCAGCACGTTTCTGGCAGCCAGATCGCGGTGGATGCACTGCAAAGGAGGAGAAACAGCCGTTAGGGAGCTCAGCGGAGGAAAGCCCAGGAAGACACAGTAACACAGAAACAGAGCGAGTCAGAAGGGGCCTCTCAGGCCATCCAGTCTGACCCCCGGCTCCAGCGGCTCTGCTCACGACATGCCCACCGTGCCACATTCCTCAGCACAGGCCGGGGACTGAGATTAGAATGCTTTGGAAAAATCTATCGGCACTTCCCAACTTGCCATTCTCCGGACATGCTGGACTGCAGTTCCCACAATTCTCAGCCTACTGGTTCTGTGGGCTGGGAACTATGGGAACTGCAGTCCAACACATCGCGGGGGGTGGGTGGGGGGGAACAGGCTGGGGAATGCTTAAATAAATAGCGGCAGCACATGATAAAGCAAAATTCTGTGCTGAGATCAATCTAAATTTTAAAGCCTGCATTTTCCATGCAAACAAGGCAAATTTGCTACAGCTTTTATCACGCAACAAATGACACCAAGTACGAAGGTTCCACCCCGCGACTAATGGAATTCTTTACCCATCCACTTTCAAAAAAATGTTCACAATCCAGAAAGGGAAAAGACTTGCTTTTAGAAGTATCAGCACCATGTTTTTTGGAACGTGAACACTCAGCCCAGTTACCACATTTGGCATTTTTGCCTGCGCTTCCACAAAATGCAGGTATCCACACAACGCTGGCGCAAACGACAGCAAAACCCCCAGTACAGTTAGAATCACAGTCAGTGGTGGGCGAATTATAAGCAAAGCCCTGGATTTCTGTAGGCCCATGATCCAAAAGCTGCAGTGCCCAAATGTCGGCGCTAGAATAGTTTGCAGGATTCACTCGAACCAAACCGCCTTTCACAAGTGCTGCTTTTCTCTATTCTCCAGAAAGGGTCGGTGCCACCCGAGTCTCGCCTGCTGGCTGCAGGGGATGAACCCAGAGGTGGGGAAGGCCTTCCAGCAGATCACCGGAAATGGATCCTTTGGTTATGTGCATGCCAACCGACTTCTCCCCCACCCCTTTCTCACCTTCTCCCCGTAAGTCTGGAACTTCTAACCACTTCTGGCTGCGGGGGCGGCTCACCTTTTTGGATGCCAGGTATTCCATGCCCCGCGCAACCTGGTATGCACAGGACACCAAGTCTTTGAAAGACAGCTGCTCTTCGGGGATGTGGGTGGGGTTGTAGCAGTATTCCATGCCTGGGGGGCGCCGAGCCTGCAGGTATTCCCTCAGGTTCCCTTTGGAGGCGTACTCAACTATTACATAGAGCGGACCTGGCACAGGGAAAGAAGCGGGGTCTTAGCACAGATAACCAGAAGCGTGGCTCCCACTGCCGGAACGTCAAGTCGGGCAGGAATGCGGTCCCCGACCTGGTGCAGGCCAACGGGCATTTCCAGTATCTAACTGATGTGGCGCAATGCCAGCACGCATGTGTGCCTGTGACTCAGGGACAGGAGGACTCCCCTTGTCCGCAGCATGGGCCACCCACCCAAGCAGAACTTTTCAGGCTGTTGCCAGAGGAAGGGGGTGCCTCTGTCTGCAGCCCTTTCTGGGCTCTGTGGCAGGGGTGCAGAGCCAGATCTGGGCCTCCACACTTCCCCCGACAGCCATGACCCCTTCTGCGGCTCAGCCTTCTTCCTCAACCACTGGTGGTTTGGTGGTTTTCCAGTTTTTCACAGTTCTTCCAATTCGAGAAGGTTGAATGACTTTGCTGAGGTATCATTACTGGGAGGAAGAAAGCTGAACAAGGCCGCTTTTTTTCGGACTTGCCCCTTTGGCCTCACCCACTGACGGCCCCCAAGGGCCTCTGGGAAATGCAAGTCAGCCCGTGGGCCGCAAGTAGTTCTGCACCTCTGCTCTGTGGGAGCCCGTTCTGCTACAATGCAGCCCAGGTGCACACACAGGTGCAATGAAGCCAAGGTGCAAGGTGCACAGAATTCCCTTTCAGCATTCATGTTCCTGGGGAGGAAAGCTATGGCAAATCTAGACAGCATACTAAAAAGCAGAGACATCACCCTGCCAACAAAAGTGTGTATAGTCAAGGCTATGGTTTTCCCACTTGCAATGTATGGCTGTGAAAGCTGGACCATAAGGAAGGCTGAGTGCCGAAGGACTGAGGCCTTTGAATTGTGGTGCTGGAGGAGACTCCTGCGAGTCCCTTGGACCACAAGGCAATCAAACCGTCAGTCCTAGAGGAGATCAACCCTGACTGCTCTTTAGAAGGCCAGATCCTGAAGATGAAACTCAAATACTTTGGCCACCTAATGAGAAGAAAGGACTCCCTGGAGAAGAGCCTAATGCTGGGAACAATTGACGGCAAAAGAAGGAGGGAACGGCAGAGGATAAGGTGGCTGGGTGGAGTCACTGGGGCAGTGGGTGTGAGCTTAAGAGGACTCTGGGGGATGGTGGAGGACAGGAGGGCCTGCAGGAATGCTGTCCATGGGATCATGATGGGTTGTGCATGACTTTGCGACTAAACGACAACTCATGCATTCCTAACTGCCAGCATTCCTAACTGCCTTCAGTCTAACAACCCGTCATGAACCTCCACATTCCCTGCAAAGCTGGAAAGGAAGGACAAGTCAGACAAACCTGTTAGGGTGCGGTCCTGCACAAGTTTAGACAAAACCTAAAATCCTGAGACGCTCAGCATTTTCCATCCAGCCCTACTGGCTGGGGAATGACAGAGGTTGTGACTCTCTTCTATGCAAGCATGGTTATTCAGCTGTTTGGGGGCACCAATAACTACTCCAGCTAGCACTGTCTTTTCTTCTGGGTCTCCGACAAAAAAATCTTTCCCACCCTGTTAACTGGAGAGGCCACGGACTGGACCTACGACCTGCATGCAATGTAGAATCTCTACCCACGATCCCATTGCTGGCACAGGATGCAAAGTCCTCCTTACCATCCTGGGTACACGCTCCAAGGAGGTTGATGATGTTCTTGTGCTTGCCAATCATCTTCATCATCTCCATCTCAGAGATCAAGTCAGATAGATCTTTTTCGGTAGCATCAGCTGAAGGAAAAAGCAAACGAGGTTCTCGTGGGCAGATCATGGAGGCAGCTCCGTTTGGAACTAGCCAGGCCAAATGTTTCCCCTTCCCAAGAGTGCTGCCTGGAGTCTCACAGATAAATGTGGTGCAGGGAAAACGAAACTGGTAGCAGGAAAACTTGTGAGTGAGCCGGTTTTGGGGGACGATGCTCCTCTCTCACCTCAGAATGGTGGTCCTGAAAGAGACCTGGGCCTGGGGACTGACCCTGGAGCTTTTGGAATTTGGAATTCCTCTCCCATCAGCCTCAGACGGCAGAGCTAATGGCTGGGGATGATGGGAAACAGAATCCAACACTATTTACAGGGAGATAGGTTCCCCATCCTTGCCTTCAACTACTGCTTCAGCTTTGCATCCAGTTCTTCAACTAACTCATAGCTTGCCGCTATGTTAAAACTCTGGGTTATTTGTCCCTCAGCAACCCAGAGTTCCAGGTTTGGAATCCCATCCCATCCTGTCCCTGAAAGGTTCAAGGTGTGTGTAACCAAAAGTTTGCAGCGAAAATGAAAGCATGAGAATGCACAGGGTATTTTCAAGTGTGGACATGCAACAATGAACTCATCGTAACTTGATGACATGTAGCTTGACTGGACAGACATTGATAGCCAGCAAGTTGTGGTGGTTAGAAGGTTGGACAGACCAACCCCCCATCCCCCACTGTTGACATCCCAGGTGTCTTTGCAGCACAAGTCCTGGTTTTCTCGGTTCTGATGTCAGATCCTTTTGGCACCTGGTTTAGCAGAGTTCGATCTACCAAGGAAAAGTTCCCCACTCCTCCCACAGCAAATTGCCAAACAGAATTTATTTTTGGAGCCAGAAAATACCCCGATTACACAAGCACAGCTTGCCCTCCCCTGTGCCTTTTCCAGCTCTCCAAAATCCGTTCCGAGACAAGATAATTAGAAGTTGTCATCTGACGTTGCAACCACCAAGTGATGAATGAGGCAGGCATGTAATTGCCCACAGCCTAAATTATTCCAGAACATTTAATCTCGTCCTCCATGATTCCTTGCTGCAACAGCAAAAGGGCAGAAAATGCGCTTTAAGAGCCATCTGCAACAAAGGGGAGTGTTGCAGCTCTTGTGGGTTTGGGGGAACCCAGGGCAACCTTGGCAGAAGTTGCACGAAGGTCCTCACTTACATTTCAGCATCTTCACCGCCACTTTAGTCACTCGGTTTGGCTTGTCCTTGTCCAGACCTATCGCCTCAGCCAGCACCACCTGTCCAAAGCAACCTTCTCCCAGTGGTTTCCCTAGAATCAACCTAGAACAGATGAAGAGAAAGGTTCTGCAGCGGCAATACCATGCCCACATGGTGGTTCTGCATGTGCTGAACTGCAGCAGCTGCACACGCAACAGGAATTCTGCTCATTCTCCATTCAGGGAAAATTGGCAGGCAGTTTGGCTTTGCTCTCTTGGGCCCCATAATCTGAGATTGGGAAGGAATTTTACTGTCAAGATAGGACTGTTGTTGCTACCTTTCCCCTTCTGCAATGCAGCTTTAGAGAACAGAGAAGTCTGTTTCCATTCTTCAGTTTGCTGACGCTTGCAAGGAACATAGTAGGAAAAGTAAGTTCAGAACCAAAAAGTGGGTATTTCAGATATGGAGGTCACTGGAACTGCTAGAGGGACGACCTAAGATTTCTGGACACATGTAGTAAAGACCACTCTCTTGGTAGGTGCTTAAGCATGTTCCAAATTCCACACATGGACAATACTTTTATTAGGACCAATTTCCGAGTTCTTGAGTAGTAACCCACCAGGCATTGAGAGAAGTAGAGCCTTTTTGAAAGCACCGACGAAGTACAGATGATTCAGTTCATCTAACACTTCTGGAGCTTTCCTGCCCCTGCTTCTGAAATTTTGGGGGATTTTTCACTTCTGCCCAGGGAAAAGCACATCCTGCTCACCTCCCCTTGGAGGGCCACACACTCAACGTAAGAATTGCCTTGTTCCAACAGGTACGATGCCAAAACGAGATGCCTGCTAGGTCAGGTGGATGCAAAACCTTTCCCTACTGACATCTGGAGGCTATGGGTCAGTGGCAGACAACTTGCCAAAGGTCCCAGATTTAATCCCTGGCGCCTCCAAGTAGGGCCTGAAGAATCCCACCTGGATAACTGCTGCCATGGTCTTCCAGGGCTAGATGAGCCCTTCTCAGAAAAGGTTTAGGAAATGCCAGTCTGGAATTGTTACCTGTCTCGGGGCAGCTCCCACCGGGGGTCTTCTGGGAGCTCGTATTCAGACACCCCTGTCAGCATTGGGGTCCCGCTGGAGGACAGCCGCGAGGGGCGCACCAGCATTACGCCCGAGTTCATGGAGGAACTTGAGTCAGCTGATACCTGCAGTGGAAAAGAGGAGAGAGTGGGGTTACCTTTGGCAAAGAGCCCAGGAGCAGGTCCGTTTGGCCTTGGTAGGGGAAAAAGCCCTGCCTGCCTCCAGCCATAGCTTCCACATCTCCCTTCATGAGGGCTAGGTCCTTGCCACTGCAAACTAATTTGATTCCCCAGGTGCTTGCAAAACCCTTTCCCCAGAGCACTCCAGCCTTCCCTCTTACAGTTCTATCAGGCACAGATTCACAGCCCAGTGACCAGGACTGCCCTGTATTCCATGATCCACGTGATGAAAATGTGAAATTGAGTTCTGGTGAGGGCCACTTTTCTCGGTAGAAAGGCAGAGCACACATTGAAGAAGTGAATAAATACTGGCTGCCAAAGTCAGCATGCTGAAAACTTGAGCTGGGCATGCTTTTTCAAAAGGACAAGCTTTTATTTATGTATTTATTTAGAAAATTTCTAGGCCGCCCCATTCGCCGAAGCCTCTAGCCCTTATGACTGCGCAACGCTGCCTAATGCATGTGGACAATGCTTGATGTGATTCCGGAAGCAGGACTGGACAGGACTTCCAGTCGATGAATGGGTATAATTCAGGGTGGGGTGGGGTGGGGTGGGGACAGTGGGATATCCAGATCAGTTTGATTTGCATTATTTATACAGGCCAAAGGGTTGTGCATTGCTTGACAAGCACCACGACTGCAAAAGCAGCACCTCTGCCTATTGGAATGATCGTTCAGCCATTGTCACAACAATGAGGCCGCAGAGGGTAGCCAGGACGCCTATGGACAGAACCTTACATGGTGTCTAGACAGAGCTCCCCACCCTTTGTGCTTCTGTGTCTCCTTAACTCCCCCACCTGCTTTGATCTGGTCTCTCTCAGCTTTTCTGCAGAAATTAGACTGGCCAGCTAGAACTGCGCTTTTTCACCAGTCTTCATCAGGACCTCTGTCTTCCACAACGACACAGTCGTGCCAGTTATCCCAGACCCATTACGGATTGAAGAAGCGGCCATGAGGCTGGTTGTTCTCCAGCCAAATACTGCTCAGATGCAGCATGAGCTTCACGCGGGCCCCACGGATCAAGCTGGCCAGTCCCATGTGCCACAAAGGGGTGAACTGCTGCAGAAAGGGGTCCAAAGGGCAAGGAATCCAGGTGACTCAGGAGAAAAAGAGGCTTCTGCCCCTTCAGGTCTCCTCCACCCTGGACTCGGCTTGTTTCTCCAGGGCTGGCATGGTCCCAACCTGGCCAGGAGAAGGCACTGGAGAGAAGCAACCGTGTACTTGCAGTGGTCACATGTACTCGCATGCACACTGAGTTCAAATTCTGCACACTTCACTCAGGATTCTAGAAGCTCCACTGGACGTGGCTTGAATCTCCAGCAGTCTCCAACCCAGGTCTGGAAACTGGTCAAAGCACTGCTCACCAGCCAGCTCACTAATCCTCTGTATTTCCGCTGTTCTCCGGCAGGCAGCAAAACCAGGATGGTCAAACTCAAACTGCTGCTCGAGCCATTCATCTTGACAGGTGGCAAGTTGGGCTGACCTGCTCCAACATAACCTGGAGTCTCCCAAGTCCCAGTTCCAGCCGTCCCCACCCAAACAGCTTTGCTAAATCCATGACCTGCCCTGCTCCCTAAAACTAGAAAGCTCATGTTTTAGCTGCAACTAAGTAGGCAGGCGACTGCCTGGGGGAGGGCCAAAGATGCCATCAAACCCCCTATCTACTTTCTGTTACCTGTCTGCGGAGTGGGATGCTCTTGGCTAGCTTGTGCACAGCCAGCTGGCTGTTGAAGTCCGTCTTCTTGGTGGTGCTCTTCATCTTGTATATGATGACGGTCACGATCATGCAGGAGATGAGGAAGCCCCCCGTGCAGTAAATAATGATCTCCAGGTACAGGGGGGAGGTCATCATGGCGGGCTTGTCTTCAATGGCTGGATCGGTGCAAAGAAGGTGTTAGCGTGCAAGGCGGCCCACCTACGGAATTTCCTAGATGCTTAGGTGAGACCTTCACTTCTTGGGGCAACCTGACCATCTCTGGAACAGGCGGTGGATGTTTAAGTTGAGGAGATGACCTCTCCAAAGCCAAAGGGTATGTGGGGGCCCTTCCTTCTCCATGCTTCCATGGCCTCTGCTTGGAGCTTGTCTGGATTTAAAGGGGAGCCCAAATCCAGGGCTTTGCACCTCCTCTAGGATCCAAATCTCTTTTGGGCCAGAAGGGATCCTGCAGCAGAGGCATAAGGAATTTGGCTCCCACAGCATAAGCTGGTGCCCTGGGGCTGTGGACAGTTCCCACATTCCCCAGCAAGTACTGCCCATGATTTCTGGGGATGATGGGTGCTTCAGGCGGATGCATCAGGAGAGCAAGGTGAAAAGGAAAGCTGGCCTCGGGCTTCTCACCAAGAAGCATGGCTTTCTTCGTTCGAAACTGACCCAGGGCAAGCTAGATCAGAGAAGAGCCTCTCTTGCTCTTTCGTGGGTGAAGGGCAGCAGCATTGCAAGGTAAATGCAGCTTGGGAAGGAGGTGTGATAATGTCCCACACCAGGGCCCCAATCCATTCTCCTCCCTTGAAAGCGGAGACTGTACTCCTAGGCTAAGACTTGTGTCCCTGGAAGATGTTGAGAAGCCTCTGTCTTCTCCATGTTCCAGGAGAAGGAATGGCAGGAATTAAATGTAACATCACAATGACTCTCTCTACATATAACTTTAAGATAAGAATGCTGTAGGTTCCATTTTTCAAAATTAAGAGCTAGTAAAACAGTGCACCTCTGCTTAAAAAGATTAAAATTAAGTGGAGGTGTGTTCAAAGGTGAGCAATATTTATCTATGTGTATGCTCAGAGTTGAGAAAAGGTACTGGGGCTGTGGGCTGGGAGTGGCAGGTCAGACAAGGTGTTAGGGAAGTCAACTATACCAGGAAATACCCTGCCAGACAATGCCTCCTTGTGAGCCAAACATACCTGGCTCTTCTTGCTTGCTGTGGATTGTGGGCTTTAACTCTGCAGGAAAAGAGCAGCCTCCAAACTCATAGAAGGGTCTGGCCTGGAAGCATCCCGAGTCAGTCTGTGACTCCCCAGCCCAGGCTCTGGGGAAAGGCCACGCTGAGGTGAGCTTTCCCATCACACTGATCAGAGCCTGCAGTGAATCAGGAGCCAAAGATGCTCAGTTTCATCAGTTGCTCTATCAGGCCGCCTGTGCAGCAACCGCGTGAAAGACAAGCTGCTTTCCAAGATGGCGCTGACTCCTGGAATGAGGGCCATATGGTTGCAGAAATCTTGGCCCTTGCAGTGGGTAACTGCCAGGAGGAAAACTTTGGTACAAAAACAGATGTCTTTGGATGTTTATGCACAGGTAGAGAGGGCTACCATTTAAGGAGAGAGAAATAGATGTCTCATCTCCTGCCTCCCAGACGAAGCATCTCAGGGATGGATTAAACCTATGATCAAAAAGAAATGAGCACCATCTTGCTTTGCTCAGATCATAGAACTTTAGGTGGGTACAAGGAAAATAAAGCTCTGATGGCACAGAAGATTTTTTCCATGTATGTGTGTAACTCACACCAGTGGCACACCAACGACTGCAAACCTCTCAGAAGTCACAGGTTCTTGCCAGCCAGTTGCTCATAGCTGAAAAAATGGCGGCATCAACCAAAAAGAGCTGAGCAGGGCTCAGAAAACCGAATTCCATGCAGACTATGATCCCAAAGAGAATGTAGGAGAAACGGGAGAGACTTCCACTCAGCAAAGCCAGATTCCATTCCTTTTCAAGGCAAGGCCATGGAGAAGCAAAGCTACATTTGCGAACATATGGCTGGGAAGACAAGTTCTTTAGAAGCTCATTCCGATTCTTGATCCTTATGGGAACCAAAGCGCTCCCCCTGCCTTAGGGTTGCCATGCTCAGCAAGAATCCCAGTAAGAAAAGGGCAACCTCTGCTTGTTGTCTTCAAGGTTCCGAAGTGCATCATTTTAACCCCTTTTTTGCATTGACCCAGAAAGAACAGTAGAGTTAACTACCAGGTCAGTGCAACCAGGCCTCAGAAAGCAACCTGATGCCTGGTGGATCTTTTCGACTACAATGTGCAGAATTAATTCCTGTGACCTGGAGGCGAGGCTGATGGAAGTGTTTCCATGCCTGAGCAAACTGAAAGCACTTGCTTCACAGGGATGGAGGGCAGAAAGGGCAGACGTCCCAACACTAGCCTGCAATCCAGAGCTGGGGTTTCCTGGCAGGAGTCTGATCAGATGCACACATTCTGCACACTTCCTTAACAGTGCAAAATGCTTGTTCGTATTGGAAGTTTGTGTGTGCATGAGTGGGAATATGCAAGAGAGAGTAAGTAGGGTCTGTGTAAAAAAAAAAAAAGAAAAAAAGGGGTAACTGCACCCCTGAATTCCCACAATATCAAATAAACCCCCTCAGGCACTGTCTTGATTATACTAACTGCAGCCCATGGGCTGTCCTTTAACCCTTTCTCAAAGCTCACAAGATCTGGGTTGGAGTTCCAAGAGGAGATGCCCGTCTCTCACTTGGGAAATGCAGCATCCCAAAGCGCTTCACTCCATTATCCCCATCGTGATCTCTGCCAATGCATCCCACACAAGCCCGTTCGAACGGCACTTAGCTCTTCCTGAGCACTGCGAGGGGGGGGGGGGATTTAGGCCCAGCAGGGGCAGAGACTCCCACTCCCCCTTGCTGAGTGGCACGGAAACCCAAGGTGAGGGGGACTGACATTGCCTAAGAAATGGAATCGGCCTGCTGAAAAACCCAGGTCCAAACCTCCAGTGGAAACCCGACGCTGGGAATTCAGGAAGGCTTGCTTGGCCTGCAAGAGCCGCCGGTGTGGAGACCAGACAAGTCCCGGTCCAGCAGGGGACAGAAGGGCTCCAGAGGAGTGGAGGGCCCACTGGCGGGACCAAAGGCGCTTTCTGCCCCGAATCTGGTCGGGCCCATCGGGGATGTTTCCATGCCCCAAGCTCTTCGCCACCGTCTTGGCTGAGCCACTTTTCTTTCCCTAGGAGGGAACTGAATTGGGGCGCCCCCGCCGCTCCCCGTTCCTGGCCTCCGACAGAGCGGACTCTTGCAGACCGTGGCAGGCTCGTCCGCGAACCCCGAAGGGGACAGCAAGGAGGTAGAGAAAGGAACGGGACCGGTATATACCTTCCAGGACCGTCAACCATGCAGAGTGGTGGGAGATCCCAATGGAATTACCCGCCAAGCATGTGTACTGCCCAGCATCCTCAAAGGAGACATTCCTTAAGTGAAGGACTTCCATTTCCTTGTCAGTTGTGTTAACACCAGCCGTCTAGAGAAGGGAAAAAATGGAAGCAAGCCAAAAAAGGAAGAGGGAAACAGGGCGAGCACACGGGACCCCTTTAGGAACCAAGATGCGGGAGGGGGGAGGGGAGAACATGCCCCGAGGCCTCCTAAGGAGCGAGGACACCACTGCAGACCTATTTTAACAGAGAGCCCTAAGGCGACCTCTCTGCCCAGGTGGGCCCGAAGAGGCAGTGTTAAAAAAAACAACCCTTCACCAACTGGATTTCCCTGCCCATCTAAACATGCTGGTGATGGGCCACATGGAAAACATTTCCTTGGGGAGAGAGCGACCAGCCCAGTTTCGGGGGGCAGGAACAGGAGAGGGGGGGGGGGGGAGAGAGGGGGGAGGGGGAAGGGGGGGGGGAGGGGGGGGGAGGGGGGAGGGGGAGAGGAGTGGGAAACAGTCTGGATTAAACTATTAGTACGCACTAGAAGAAGAGAAAGCTCATGCCCATCTCTTTGGACAGAGATACACACAGGAGAAATGGGGAGGACAAGCCCAGGAACTCGACTAGATGTACAAAAAATAAGCCCTGCAAATTTTGGGGGGGGGGTGTAATTTGTAGATTCACCTCAATTAAGTTGGTGACAGCAAATTTATGAACATTTAAAGGGCACGGATGTGCATTTTTAAATGCTGTTTTGATTCTGCTGTCTTAAAATGACACTATATTTAGAGTCGGACAGTATTTACATTGACTGATTTAACCTGCTATAAATCAGACAATTAAAGCACTTCTCTGGCAGATGGAGCCAGAAAAAGACCTGGAAGCCCAAACCCCAGAACTATCGGCTTGATGTTCCAGCAGAAAAGTGTGGGATAATTTCTGACTTTGGCTGAATCGATAGAGAGGGAAGGCTAAGAGAAGGACAGGAAAGGAAAAGGCGTGGGGAGCAGGTCACGAAACTGAACGGATCGGCCCCTTCCGGGCGTTTTCCATGGCTTACGGCACCAGAAACAGAGCAGAAACAGGAGAGCCACGAGAGTCTGGTTTTCCGCCACTAAGGACTGGCCGTCCAAGCAAGAGCCCGCAAAGTGGCATTCGTCCCGTTTACCTTCAGCCATGGGTCTGGTGACGGTCAGCCACGCAGACTGGTTAGCCTCACCAATATAATTGGAAACCTTACAAACATACTCCCCGCTCTCAGCCTCTGTCACATTATACAGGGTCAGCACCTCCGCATCGGAGCTATTAATTCCCGAGTGCTAGAACAAGATCAACAACACAGCGGTCATTCAGGGCCAGTGGACAGGCACCAAGCCCCCACACACACAGCACCACGAATGCACGTCTTCTGTGCTCCCACCCCCCAAGCAAGGGGGACCCTAAACGTCTGCCCCGCTTCCCCCCGCAGTTGACTCCCTCCAGGGACACCCTCTGAGCCCTTTCAAAGAGATCTTCCCCCGGGGCACAATTTATTCATTCATTTATTCATTTCACCCACAGCCAAAGCTCTCTGGGCAGTTTGCAAACTGCACCCCCTTACACCCCCTGCCGAAAATACTGCTGCTACCAAATGAGCGGCTGTATTAAAAGAAGGCAGCCTCCCCCAGTTGGCTGTCCTCCAGATGTGTTGGACTACAACTCCCATCCTCCCCCACCAGCACAGTCCAAGACATCTAGAAGGCACCACATTCAGGGAAAGCTGGGTTCTGATAGTGCAGTGGCAGGACTAAGTTTGCCACGTGCTCTTTCTCTAGGATAAAACAAACCTAAATCTGCTTACATGAGCAAAAGAGGCCCTTTGTTCGTTAATTTTGGGGATACATAAAAGACCAGTAACCTTAATCCATTTGCGTAATTGAATAAAAATGCATTTTTGATACATTTTTAGGAAAGGCAAATCAAAACGAAAACCATCCCCTTCCCCCACCATTCCTCATATAACATTTCCCCAGTCTCATCCATTTGTTAGTGGCTGGTATTTTAAGCATTCATCCGGTACTTTACCTGTCTTGTAATGTCATTTTGGTGGTGCTTAAGTCCAGGAAGTGGCCGGGGCTGCTTGTCCTGCCCCTCCCGCCCTTCTCTGGGCCCTCTCTCACTCCCAGGGGGCTTCCTCTACCTCCCCGCTTCCCCAGGCAGGGATTCCTCTTTGCAAGGGTTGTTCAGGGGAGGTGAAGAGCCTGCGGTCCATTCCTTGAGGCACCGGGGAGTCCAGAGCAGGCCTTGTGAACGACTGACCCTAACCCCAACCCTAAAAAATTTCAACCTAGAAAAAGTCAGCCTAAACCTAACCCTTGACTGGGGAAGGCAGGTGAAGCCTTCCCTAGGTGCTTGCTCTCCCCATGAGGTCCTGTGGATCTATGGGGTGGGCCCGAACTGAGCTTGTGGGGACAGGTTCCCCTGACGGAACTCAGGGGTCAATCAGAGCCCACCATGGACTGTGGCTGGCCAGTGGGCCAAACCAGCAAAGCCATGTTAAAAGTCACCCTAAGAGAGACACAGACTGGTGGCTGAGTTTGGTTTGGTGGGTAACAGCCTGAGTCAGGTTGTAGTAAACTACCTTCCAAACAGAGCTACACTGGGCAAACATAATAGAGGTATCTAACATGGACCACTTGGCCTTTCCCCAGTTTTGCGCCAACAATTCCACCAGAAGGAACACTGCGTGTGAAATCAGCTTGGCTGGTTCACCAGGCCAGCTTAATTGGGAAGTGGTTTCTCCACCGGTCCCAGACTAAGATGGTCCTGTCCCTGTTTACATTGGTCTCCTATGCCCCCTTCCTCAAACAGTGCAAACATGTCCCATATCAACAAAGACGACACGTTACGTCACCAAAGATAGTGGTTCTTGTACCTTCAAGACCTGCACGTACGGCAGGTTATTTGGTCCAATTCTGCTCCCATTGACCTCAATGTGTTTCAGCCACTGGATGTGAGGCTGAGGATCACTGTAGACCTTGCAAACAAATTCCACATTGCTACCCAAGGAGACGGTCTTGTTTGCAGGGAGCCCAGCTTGTAAAATAGGCCGGTGAGGGGACCTCTCTGGAAGAGACAGCAGAGCAAACGGTTTCAGATACATTCCACAGACCAGATCAGAAAGACAAATCCCCAATTGCCTGTTTATTTCTTATACTCATATATTACACATCAACCAGATGTGTCCCGGGGAAATTGACAAAAATGCAAAACAACAACATCAATTTTCACAGGCAGGCAATAAGCCTCAGCAACTAGCACAGCAGATTACAGGAACATGCCAGCTTTAAAAGCCTGGGAAGGCAAAAAGGTCTTTGGCTGGAACCCAAACGATACCACAAATTGGGTGGCACTTCTGCAGGCTCGCTCCACCTTCCCCCGGATAGTACTTCCACGCAAACAACTCCACTAAGTGTCTCTGAACCTCACTTCCCCCTAATTCCTGCCCCAAGGTACAGAGAGCTACTTTACAGTCTGATGTGGAAGGGGCAGGCAACTTTCAATGGCTGAGCAAGTAGGAACCCTGCTTCCCAGTCACCGAGGGGAGAGGGGAAGAGCCGCATCTGTGGTAGCCAACAAAACCACGTCTGACATCCCAAAGAGGGCAATACAGGCATGGACAGAGGCCCCACTTCCTCCGTGTGGGTTTGACCTTCCAAAGCCACCTCAGGAACATCTTGTGCAGCACCCGCCATCTTGCTAAGCTTGTGGTGTTGGCAAAGGAGGACTGGACCGAGGCTGTGGGGAGCTCGGCTCAAGTCCCTGCTCAGTTATGATGCCTGCTGGGGAAGCTGCTGATTCTCAGCCTAACCCACCTCACAGGGTTGCTGTTGTGAGGATGAAGTGGAGAGGAGGAGGGTCAAGAAGGCTGCCTTGGATTCCTTGGAACCCAATAAACAGCCGAAGACATAATCCCGCTTAACATGTCTGTACACCTTTGCCAGACACATGAGCCTTTCACACATGACTCCCGTCTAGACATCGGGCGAGCAATGCGTGAAGGGGATCTCACTTTCAGTCAAAGTAGGGCTCCAAAAACAGGGCTTGCCCAGTCAAACGGGTTTGGCCCTGCCTGGGGGAGGGCACGGCAGAGCAATCAAGTGAATATTCACGGCTAGTCAGGTGCAGACCAGAAGCTGCACACAAACTTTGCAGAAACAAAGAGAATTAGGCAGGCGTGCAGGGAAAGGAAAGCCCGGCAGCCGCCTGCGACCCTCACATCTTCACTTGTGATGTGACAAAGCCGGGATTAAGAAGTTAAATTTTCCCCTTCATTGGAAGAGGCTGGAGCCAAGATCCTTTTTTTTTCATCTTAGCCAGTTGCTTATTAAAAATGTGAAGGAAATGCTTCCTCCTCTAATCCCTCTTGCGAAGGATTCTTGATGAGTGGGGGCCCTGCATCCTAAAATCATATCCCACTTCCTGAGCTAAATATCACAGGATCAGCCCTCCCTCTGCCAAGGAGCCCTCTGGCTTGAACTGTAGTACCCTTTCCGCCGTGCTTCACAGCGCTCCTCTGATCCAGTCCGGAGCAGCTCTGCCGTGTTTCCTGTCCCTCCAGGGATGCTTGAGGCCTAGTTAGAGGGTCTCGGCAACCATACGTACAAAAAGGCTGGTGCCAAACCCACGGGGTTGCTCTCTCATTCTCTTTAAGAAAACGGCACTCTGATCCAGCCGTTTTTCCAAAATACAAAAGTGGCACGTCAAACGTGTGTTCACGTCAACATTCGTTGTGCAAATAAGACAGGCACCAAACAAACCACAATGAAGTTACAATGAATAAATAAAACAACTTTTGGATAAATAACATTGTCTAATTGGAGGATCGAGCAACTCTGCAGTCTATTTTTTCATTCCAGAGGTCACCACAAGAACAACCACCCCTCAGGATGTTTCCAAGGGTCTAATTCATAAAAACAATGCATTTGTGTAAGCTGCCCAAAGAGCCCTTGGACTATAGGGTGGCAGATAAATATAAAAAATAAATTCGTTAATAAATATCAGTATATGGAAGTGCACTCCAATCTTTGGGAAGTATTTTACTTTTCTTCAGAATGTTCAACTTGTGAAAAAGGGAGGTCAAATATTGAAATAGAAGTCACTAGTGGTTTTAATCATCCTGCATGTAGTTAAAAGGGAAAAATCGGTCTTTGTACCCCTGTGACTCGGAGTATGATGGGATGGTTAAAAAGGAACCCATCTGCACCAGAGGAGCAGAACATAAGCAGTCTTATCTTCTCACAAAAACTTAAGCCACCTGGGGTCAACTAACCCAGGTTAAACTTTGAGGAGGGATCTGCATAAGTTTCCTGAGCAATCTTAACTCCCTTTGACCCAGAAAATATCCAAGACAATCACAGCGGCTAAGAATGAATAGGCTGTCCACAGCTTGCCAAATGGTGCTTTGGCTTCCTTTGTTTCTTCAGAGCCTGAATTATAACAGCCTAAAAGAGCCTTCCCCAACTGGATGCCCCCCAGATATTTCCAACTACAATGCCCAACCTTCCTGACCATGGCTGGCTGGGGCTGCTGGAAGATGGAGCCCCTAATGTTTGGAAGGCAAGGGGGTGGGGAAGGCTGCTCCGAAGAGGAAGCTCTGACACTCGGAACAGAGTGGAGGGACGAAGGCAGCAGCTGGAACCTAAAGCGGAGAACCGCCATGAGCTCACGGGCAAATGGCAGCAGCGTCGCTAGGACTTCACACCGTGGCTTTCTGCAGCGGCAGAACATCGGTCCTCCTACCAGCAGCTCTCCAGGGGGCTTTCCCAGCCCTACCTGGAGACATGAGCATGGGCACACAGAATCTTCCGCATAGGAAGGACATTCTCTGCCGCTGGGCTGTAACTCTTCTGAGGCTGATGGGAGTTAAAATCCAAAACATCTGGAGGACACCAGGGCTGGGAAGGCCGAAATGAGGCGCTTCGCAGGCTGCTGGCATAGTTTGGGCAGAAGAGACTCCTCTGCTGAATTAGCAAGGGTTCAAGTATTGGTCCCAGGCAAGGCCAAGCTGTGGCGGTTTCATGCAGCCAAGTCATCTCCAACTTATGGCAGCCCTGCGAGTGGAAGCCCTCAGCCATGTCTTGTCCTTAACAGCCCTGCTCAGCTCTGGTCAACTCAACCCTTAGGGAATTGGTCCCTTTCATATTCGGTCTTCCTCCTCTTCTGACTTTGACTTTTCCTAGTACGACTGTCTTTTCCAGCGAGTCTTGCCTTTCCCTGATGTGCCCAACAGCCTCACTTCATCATTTTTGCTTCCACAGAAAGTTCTGGCTTCGTTTGCTCTAGGACTCACTTATTTGTCTTTCTGACAGACCAGGAGATTTTGCAAAGCTCTCCTCCAGCACCATGTTTTCAACACATCCGTTTTCTTCCGGTCTCATTTCTTCATTGCGCAGCTTTCACACCCAGACAAAGCGACCGGGGACACAAAACTGTGCAAGATCTTGGCCTTGGTCTCCAGCAAAATGTCCTACTGTCGCCAGTCCTGGGATGTGATGCTGCATCCTTCAAATCCCTTCCATGCCCGAAGAAGGTTCCAAAAGGCAGAGTGGTGTAGCAACTGGACCGGAACTTCAGAGATCTGAGTTCTGGCCCCCATGGAGCTCACTGTGTGCCTCTGCGCCAGCCACAGACTGGCCAAACCTACCTCCCAAGGCTGTTGTCGTGAGAATAAAATGAGGAGGGCAAACCTTGCAAACCCCCTTGGGTTCCTTGCATTGTATAAATGCAATAAAATAATATTTTTTAAAGGCTGAAACGTGGGGTCTAAAAGACCGAGTGGCTGCAAGCCATACATTTTCTGGCTGAAATGCAAGAGCTTCCAACACTCCAAGCTGCTGATCCTGGTGAGTGGGTCACCTCGTCGTAGAGCAAAACACCAGCAAACAACCCCCTGTCCACAACACACACAAACCATCGAGGGCAGTCAAGGAAAACCAGGCAGGTGAAATTCTTGACATGGTACCGGGGTTAGGATTCAGGGAATGGGGCAAGTAGTAAACATGGCTACCGATTCACTGGAGGTCAAAGGTCAAACAAACCTAATGAGGGCCTAGCCGATTAACAAAGTGCCTGGCACTGCGGTGAGTGAGCATTAACAAATCCCTTTGTTCCCCCTTGCAGACTATTCCCTTCAGTTTGCTCAGTGTAATTAAATTAAATTGCATTCTTAATGGTTCATTTAGTGGCATTTAGAGCAACTCCACAAGTGGAACGGCAGAGATCAGCTTGCCTGGGTTGGAAATTAAGGCTAATAAGGAGATTAATTGGGGAGGGTGGTGGCGAGGAGAGGGAGCGTTCCTGTCTGGCCTCTGAAATTATCATAAATGCAGCATGAAAATGAGGGGACGTGTGCAGAACCAGTTCCTCTAGGTGCTCTTGGCAGAGAGAGACTGGTTTGGTGGAGGCGAACAATCATCCGCAGAGGTGCACACCTTGGAAGAGCCACAATCTGCGCAAGGAGCAATCCGGGGCTGAAAAGCAAGATTCGCTCAACCACTTTCTCTCATGCCTTCCAGACCGTCTGTCACCCACACCAGGCCACTTAAGGGAACTCCTGCCTAGACAGTCCGGCCCCAGGAGCCAGGAAACATCTCTGCCAGGAGCGAAAAGAACTGGGGGGACCCAGGCTGGCAAAGGCTACACAGCAGAAAGGGTCAGGGCCTTTGCACCTTCTCGTTTTGTTATTATTATTATTTCATTGCATTTATTTCCTGCCTTTTTTCCTCTTTTTACTGCACACATGTATGGGAGACATCTGTAAGCAGACATATAAAACCAAATGATCTAGAAATTGTTTTATCATTATTATTATTATTATGGACTAGTAACATCTGGAAAGTTCACAAGCAGCATATGGAAGTTTTGGCCGTCAATGGCTATTTTCCACCAGGATTTAATATTCTGAGGTATACTGCTTCTGTCTGTGGAGGTTTCCTCTTCATTCTCTAGCAGTAAGATGTATTCTCCATGGCTTCTTATTGCCCACGCCTTTTATCAAATATAGTGTCGCTCTTTTGGAAGCAGAATACTGGACTAGACTGAGCCATCAGTGTAACAATATGCTATGTGGTTTTATATTGCCTTTAAACAGTTTCGGTACAGGCAGAATGCTTGTTACTGTGTCATTAATTATTGCTTTGTTGTTTTATCAGAAGCCTGTTGAGTTTCATTGTTGTGCAGTTGTTTGATGACAGGTAGGCTTCTTTTAAATTTGTTTCTAAATTGATGGTTATTTGATGTTTTTAAGCATCTTCCATACACAATTCTGAGAGCTTGTGTAATCAAACAGTATAGAAATACCTCAAACAAACAAACAATACAGGGCCCGCCGGATTCAGGCTGAGAGAGCTTCATACGCCTATATACTCACGAAACATACAACCCCCCCCCCATCCTCCTCAAACCATACAATTCAGGGCATAGCAATAGATGCACCATCACCTAATTCTGCAATCAATCTCCCAGCTGCAGAATTGATGCACACGCGCGGCCTGGGGAGTGCCTGCCACTTTCCTTTCCAAGGAATCCGTGGAAACACATGCTGGCACGCAAGACCCCCGAAGCCTGTATTACTCCTCTTTGAACCGTCTCCTCTCGAGACGCACCCTGCACCAGAGTCTCCAAAGCCGCTGCTGGGGCTGGAGCGGAAGCGACTGCAGAGGGGAAGCTGCAGAATGGCTTCAGCACATACAGGTGGGTGAGGTCGGGGTCCATTGACAAAAGGAGGCATTTCTGCCTCCATCAAAGCAGACGTGCAGGTTGACCATATTCCAACCTTCCCTTCTAAGGACAGACTAGGACAACTGTTTTGTTTGAGTCCCACAGGATTTTACGGGGTTTCCAATCCAGGGGTTGGAAATGGACCATATCGGACTTTTTTCAGGTTCCAGAAATGGGCACAACATAGTCTTGCACCCTGCAAACCAAGATCTGTGCATCTGCAGCACCACTTGCGCAAACAGTGATTTGTCAAATGGGATCTCAGTCTTTGCATTTGCATTAATGGAGTTGTGCCTTTTTAATGGTTTAATTGCATTTGCAGGGCTGCTAGGTAACCTCAGGTAAATAGCCTTGTCAGTTCCATCCCCGCCAGTTCCTCCTTCATTGTCCTTACGCCCTGCTTCACAAAAAGCTTGTAATTGTCGATTCTGACTAGGGCAGCATCAGAACTACATTTTTTTGCTAAGATGATCAGATTTGCACACATTGAGCAGACACCTTCTAAATTATTATTTTCATTCATTATTTTCAGCTCCCAAGATTCACACAGATGCACTCCGGCTTTTCAGCTCTTCCCTTGCCCTTGTTCTTCCACCAACTTTAGCCTTTTCTTCTGCTTACAACATAGAAGGAATTACATTTTAAAATGCAATCGGAGCAAATTTACCCGTTTAAAAACACCTTGTAAAATGTGAGCCAACTGTGAATCTGGAAACACGCACACCTTTTGGGATCCACAACTGGCACACACTTCCTGAGCTTTTCTTTAAAACCTGGGCTTCTTTTAAAAGCAGAAATCAGCATGATAGCCCAATTCGTCTCGGACCACGTAGGCATCAGCGTGGGAGAAGCAGAACAGAACCGGAAGGGTGAGTCAGGAAAATCCATCAGCTCTCACCCCCGCCTCAAACAGATTTCTTGCACACCCCTTTTCTGTGCAATGAGCTCATTTTTCTGGGCAAGCTGACCACACCAGTGACTCCACAACTTTCTCTCTCGGGACCCCGTTTTTCCTCACCAACAACGTCAAGCTGGTAGGTGTGGTTGATGGTGCCGTATCTGTTCTCCACGAGACACGTGTAATTGCCTTTGTCTGACGGCACAACCGAGTCCATGATGATGCTCCAGGTGGCATGACGGACCTGTGGGGAAGGAGACACCAATCAGTGTGGCCGGCGGGGAGTGGGGACAGGGCAGGGGCAGCAGCTCTGACCCCCACGGCTTCTGCATCCAAAGCGAGGGCAAAGGTCTCGCCCGCTCTGTGCTCTGTGTTCTAGACTGCACGTAATTGCAATTCGAGGTTATGTTTTCCCCTTTTGCTATCCTGAGGGAGTAATTGCTGCCAAATGAAGGAGTGACCACCGAGTCGGCTACATATGGAAAGGGATATTATTGACGTGTTCCCGTTGCCAGCACAGGAACCGGTCTGGAAATTTCTCCAGCTGCACTCCCACACAAAGGGAGGGCCACTGTGCCCAAATTTAACCGGGGTGCTGCAGAGGACATGTGTCATCTGCACAAACACCAGATCTGGCGTAGAATTTGACACAGGAACAATGCCGTCTTTCATGTTTATTTATGGTCTTAATATATTTACGTCCCACCTTGAAAGATGTTTAAACCCTGGTAAGGCTGCTTGAAAAACAGGCGAAGAGCGCAATACATCCAACAATAAATTGTGTATATACAAACCAGTAAACTGAAACCACTAAAAACAGCAGTGGCATAAAGACATGCGATTCAATAAAAAGCTTAGGTGGAACCAAATTGCTTTTTTAAAGATCAAAGAATGAAAAGCAAACTCTAAATATGAACCCTGTATTTTGCAATGAATTGCTTAAATATGTGTGGACTGGGCCCAAGTGGGCACGCCAACAAAACACAGAAAAGGCAAAGAAAATGACACAGTAGGCTGCAAATTCCATTTTGTGCATGCTAGATTTCTAGGAGGGTGCGGTTTTGGGGGGGGGGGGCTGCTCTCAAATGGGATGGAATGCTAGCTCACTCCAGGAGGACAGGCAGCCACTCCATGTCTTTGCCTTAACCAAGTAGAGTGGCCAGATGTGTTTGGAGGATTTATTTATTTATTTATAGCGTTTATCTCTCGTCCAGCTACTGGCGTCTTGGGACAGTTTTACAATAAAAGCAACACAAATAAATTTTTTCAGTCCAATCCTGGATTAAAGGTAAAGAAACGGAAGTCGGGAGGGCAGGCAGGGGCCTGGGCACTTCCCCGGGAGCAGACGCACGGCGCACCTGGTCACTCCAGGTGGGAGGCGCTGAGTTTCCATTTGCACAATCGCATTTCTAGGTGAGCATCCCTTTCGGTAAATCAGCACATGCACATCTTGCACACAGCTCTTTTGATGCTACTTTTCCTCCTTCTGGGCAGTATCTCAATGGCCGCCCTATAAGCAAATCTGGATTGCTTCCTTCCTTTGGTTATTTAGGGATACGCTCCATGAAATTGGTTTCAACTAAACAAGCTTATTGCTTCAGTGGTGGCGCCCTAACTGCGGAAGGAGTTCCCCAAAGTGGTGTGCCTACTCTCCACTCTTATCAGTGCCAGGTGAAAACTTATTCCCCCGGAGTCTTCATAGTTAACTTTTTAATTCCAGTTTTGAAACTGCACTTTATTCCCTTTGCTGATGTACATCCTTACCCATCCAGTTGCAACTGCTGCTGCGTTACTGTCTTAGCGTTCTATGTGGTCCTTCTTTTCTTGTCATATGTTTTTAACCTTTTAACTTCTGCTAACTGCCCTGAAGGCCTCTGGAGATTGGGCATATATAAACGAATTCTCCCCTTGTAGAGTTGGAGATTCTAGCCTGAGTTTGCTTGCTGCAGTTTTTTCCTAGGACATGAAACGGCTCTGGGAGTACCTCCTTCCCGAGGAAAAGCTCGGGCATGTCACTGATGCTTGAGGGGCTGCTGCCAAGTCTCCCGCCCAATGGCGGCCAAGAGCACAGGCGGGCTGGGGCAGCAAGCAACAGACAAGCTGCAGAAGCACAGCCAGGCTAAAACGAAGGGAGACACTGCATGGCCACTGTCTGGAAGGGGAGTTCGATTCAGGAAGCTACAAGGAACTGTTGCTTAGAAGGAGAAGAATAACAGGGGCTCTCCAATTCATTAAAACGGCTTTGATTTGCTTCTCTGACCAGACATGAAGATTCAGAAAGGGAAAAGTAGGACAGGGGGGCTGTTGTCTTGCTGCTAAAGGAATGTTCTTATTAATGCGGTGGCCTAGACTACACCAGCAGTGGGAGGTATCGGAGGCCACGCTGTGCTCGCTTGTGAGTCACTCCGGACGGAAACAAGTTGTTCTGACTGGAGGCGACTGGATGAGGCATCCAAGGCAAGCCAGTGGGGCCCGCAGGCAAGTGCCAGGCTGGCTTCTGGATTGCCGCACACCCAGCCAGACGCCTCCACTTGGCCTTGAAGCGGTCCAGAGAGGATGGAATCGTAGCTAGGTGGCATTACGGCTTCACTCGCAAAAGGTATGGTGGATGCTTTTCCGGCTGTAACAGGAACTTGACTGTGAATACAGCTGCTGCGACACCGGGCTGATGATCCCCGATTTTTTAAATGACCAATTCATGGATTAAATCTTACATAACATCCTGCATTTGTGGGCGCTTGACTTCTCTCAAAATACTGTGTTGAGTACAGGATGCGCTCCAACGGAGCCAAGCTCAGGGAGCCAAGGTTCCATTTGGATGCCAGGAAGCCCTTCCTGACAGTCAGGATCCCGAGGGGGTGGAATGGGCTTCCACGGGGGGTCGTTGAGGCCCCAGCGGTGTGGGTGTTCAAGGATAGGCTGGATGTCCACATGGTGGGCATGTCGTAAGCGGAGCCAGCTGGTGCCGGAGGTCAGACTAGATGGCCCAGGAGGCCCCTTCTGACTCGCTCTGCTTCTATGTTTCTATGTGTTGGAACGGGCAGAAGAAGCAGAGTCCAATAGAGCAAAAGCAAATAATACTGTGTTTGGGGAAATGACAACCTTTCACGGAGCACAGGAGTTCAGAGTCTCTGGTCCAGGGGGCAAATATGGCCCTGCAGGAGGCTCCATCCAGCCTCCCAGGGGTCCCCCGAAATCCACACCCCCCACTTTCCCCATCTGCCGATCATCTGGTTGTCTGGTGCCGGTTTCATGCATCCTCCCCCACACCATACCTTTGAAAAGGACAAAATGCCTCTCCGGAGACTAGGCTAATATCAACCAGAGCCTCAGGTGATGGATCTGAGGAAATCTTGTTCCCACCCCCTTGGAACGGCTTCCCCAGGCCTTCTGGGGTGAGCTGCAGGCCGCCCCATCTGGAGGACAGCCGGCTGGGAAAGGCATGGGAGAATGAGCAGCTTCGTCCTCCTTTAGGAGTCAAGCGGCGCCACTGTGGCACCAGCAATGATTCTTCCCCTCTCCACTTATTTATTTTATAGAGCGCTTCCCCTTTTCCAAATCCCAGAGTGGTTCTCAGCATATTACAAAGCAATACAGCATTAAAAGCATAAAAGCATTTAGATGAGGTCAAGGTTGGGAAAAGCAACATATCTGTTCTTGGTAGCCATCAAAAGCACGTGCCAATGGGGGCTTGATGCAGTGCCGAAATCGATCCAGACGGGCGGCCCTCCCCACTGCAGTTTTTCAATAAACTAGCATTCCTTGCGAACAGAGTTTTAAAAATCCCTACTTTCTCAAAGATCGAGGGGCCCAGGACCATCAACTAGAACTGGACTCCCACGGATGCCCTGACAACCCATTCAGCAAACTGAAAATGGGACGACCTCAGAAGAAGGCCTTTCTATTAGTTCCCTGCAACACAGCATTTTCTCCTCCTGAACAGGTGCATTTCTAATGCCCCTCTTTACTTGAGAGAAAAACGGCAGCATTTTTTTAAACACGATCCCTGGAAAGAAACCCCAACCTACAACTGGAATAGCACTTATTCATTCATTCAAAGCTTTTCTATCCCACCTTTCACTATGTCCAAGGGCAGTAATACACTAAAATACAAATGAATACAGCATCAACGTATACAATAGATAAAACCCAATCTTAAAACACTTTGGCTGCATTCCCCATTCTTTCAATGGCAACTCCAGGCCAGGGACCAGACCAAAAGGTTCCTACCTTGTATCCACCAATACGATGGTCAGGTTTGAACTCCCTGCCGTTCTTCAGCCAGCGCAAGGTCGGGGTGGGTGTCCCACTGGACGGGCACCGAAACTTTACAGTCTTGGCAGCAGGAACCGCGTGGAGCTTCTTTTCCATCTTCTCAGGGTACGTCCAGTAAGGCGGGATGGCTTCTGCGGAGATCCAACAGCAGGTTGGGGCTTAGGCAGTGCTTGCTGAGGGACAGGGACGTGTGCCATGACGTGGGCAGCCAAAAGAAGGCACCGCAAGCTCCCCCCACGCCCCACGAACAGCCCCAGCATCTCCTCTCCCTGCACCACCTGCAGCCTGGTCAGAGGACGCGAGTTCTCGATGTTCGCACTTGGAGGCTTTGACACTGCCGTGAACCATCCTGGTCTCCGAAACCAGATGCCACTGCTAAAAATTCCCGTTCCACTGCCTGCTCTGAATCTTTCCCTCCCCTGCTTAGAATGGAAACTTGTTGTTGAGGGATGTCATTAACTCCCGCACCCACCTGCTCTTCTTTTAATTTGAGCAGGAAAAAGGGCAGCTTTTGGGAGAAGAGCAGGTTTGCGTGCATCTTATTAAAAATCCTCCCACACCCTCCTGACTAAATGCATCACTTTGGGAAAGTTTGGTACTGTGCAACCATTTGAGAAACATTTGCATTCAGGGCTGCAAACAACATGTGGCTGGAGGGTCTGTGAGCTTAATATGCAATTCTCGTGGGCCCTAGTTGCCATTCTCGAGTGCCTCCGTCTAACTGGACCCCTATATAAGGTGGGAGTTGTCGACTGAGAGAGGTTTCGGGCACTCCTGGGCAACATATGCAGAAACGCCATGGATTACTGGCACCCAACAGCAACCAGCTAGAAAGGTATCCATGGAAATGGCATCCGCAAGGGATACCTGTCGGCTGCTCTTGGGGTTTGCCACTGGAAAGCTACCGAAACAGATGGATCTCGAACGTACGGTTCGGTCTGGAGTTATCGGCTTCCTTCTCCTCCGAGGAGGAATCATCGTCGTCGTCGTCATCTTCGGCAGAAGGAAGAGCATCTGGGGAGGAAAAGCGGCAGGTATCAGATTCGATTTGACACACGGGTGGCTTGCAATGATGCACGGAAGTGCTGGCGGTTCTCTTGCCCTGCAGTACATTTATTGCTCTTTTCGACCGCTGCTGCCCAGCACACGGCGTCTCAGAGAAATTAATTCTGAGTATCAGGTCTGCTGGCCCCTGGCAATAGCTTGTGGATGCTCTGTTGCGTATGGTCGAGTGATAATGGGCGTGAAGGAGCAGGAGATTGTGCGAAAACAAGACGCAGGTGTGGAGACGCATACTTGTTTTCTGCCTGCCACAGGATGGACGGCAAGGAAGAGCCACACTCCGGAGCTGGCCTGGGGGCAAGGGGGGGGGCTTCACGGAGGGACAACTGGGGCAAGCACGCGTTCTGGCTGGCTGCAAACACCAGCGCACCTGTGTGGATCCTCTGGTTGAGGACAGACGGAGCCGGCCACGCAGCAGTCTCTCAGCAGTACGCATCATCCGGCCCTCTCTGGTTGTCCTTCGGAGGTGCTGGGCTACAATCTCTTCAGCCCCAGCCAGCTTGGCCACTGGCCAGGAATGCTGGCAACTGTGGCCCCAAACATCTGGACAGCGCCAGCTGTGGGAGGGCTGGCCCAGTATGTCCCTTGCTATGGCACACTGGCGACCTACCGACACCTCGTCACATGACAGAATTTGTCTGGACGGCACTATTGCAGGTGGAAGGCCCCTTTTCCAAGTTTTCTACAAGCAATGGAAAATAAAAGTTGGGCTGCTTGTCTATGGGGAAAAAGGAGAGAATCCCTGAACACACACGGATGCACGGGCCAGAATATTCCTCCGTGGTGTCTGTTGTTCAGCCTGCGTTTAAAACAAACATCATATTTAAACATGCAGGTGTGCTGAAACTTAAGAGCCAGTCTATCATTAGTTCGAAGTAGAATAGCCCAAGAAAGGGTTTTATCCTGTGATATATTTTTTCTCAATAGAGCTACATAATCAGAATAGGTGAAGGTAAAGGGTGAATTTGTAGATGCAGTTGGAACATGGCGTTTGGTACCCATTACTCGGGCACAGGAATTCCTGGCTGGTCAGAAGGTGTTGAACTAAAGCTCCCATCCCTCCTTACCACTGCTTATGCTGGGGCTTGCTGATGGGAGCTGGAGTACATCTAGAGCAGGAGTGGGCAGAAGGTGGACCTCTACATGGTTCAGACTTCAACTCCCATGAGTCCTTGCTAGTAGGGACAGTGGCCAGGACTGCTGGGAGCTGAGGTCCAAAATAGGTGGAGATTTGCTTTCTGCCCACTCCCGATCTAGCTGGCACCAGGCTTTCCACCACATAGTGTGCATTGCTAAGCAAAACTGTCTCGTTTTGTATGATTTATAATAGAACAGCTTACTCCTGTGGGGCAGCAAAGAATTATGCATGGGGGCAGTCTTCACACATGGCCACTGAAAATCTTATTCCACCACCCCTCTGGGTTTGGAAATTTCAGCAGTCTTTGCCCATGGTCAATCACATCTTTCTAGCCATAAGGACTAGAAACTTGTTTTCAAAAACTGAAAGCAAAGGTTGTCAACAAACTGAATTCTGCAACCCACAGAATGTATTCTGGGCTTTTTCAGAGCTCCCACAGAATGGCAGCATGCACAGAACTTTGGATGGACTACAGGGTTGTCAGCATCCACGAAACACATTCCTTTTTCCTGATGCCGTAGTGAGGAACTCCTGGGCATCTACAGCGTAATGGCCACGATGAGCCACACTCTTCAACACTATCCGGGGCGATTTGGGTGTGCTTTCAAGGTACGTGCTGAATTTTAAATGACGATGCCTCTAGAAAAGAGATCCAGGGCTAGAATAATGAAAAGGAAGCCACGGATGGCTTCCAATGTGAGTCCTACTTAGAATAGGGGCACTGAAATGAATGGGACTTGCTTTAGTAATGACTAACAAAGGTCTCGTGGATTTCAACTGATCTTTAGGATGACCCTCAGATAAATCCCAGTGCTTCTGCCTACAAGAAGGAGAAGCAAAACGAGCCCAACAAAGCCAAGGTGTCTGAGCCAGCCATTTCCAAGGGGCTGCAAGAAGTCACAAAGACACCCGGGGAATTGAGGTCTGGATCTAAGATCCCCCAACTCTTGGGCTCCTATTCCATGACCTGCCAGCAAGCCCAAAGGGATTATCCATCTTCCCCCACCCAATTCTCCATCATCCAAAGAGGCCCTCAAACACGTCCTCAGATCTTCATCATATAATGCTGATTACATGATGAAGAACTGCCTGTAATTCTAAGGACAAACCGAGTATTTGCTGGCAGGAAAGGAAGACATTCAGAGATGATGATGATGATGATGATTGCATTACACTTCCCTACTGCCTGTGGCTGAAGCTCTCTGGGCAGTTCGCAAAATGAAGTCCAGATTCCAACGAGGTCCAACCCTGCTTAGTTTCCAAGATTAGGCAGGATCAGGTGCTTCAGGCTGTAAGAAGTGCCAATGTGAACGGACATGCTGTCACCTATACAGGGTTTCGTCTTTACCCTCTGCCAGGGACCCACAACCAGCAGGGTTTCATTTGAACCTGATCAGCTTTGATCTCAAGGGGTCACACCTGTAAAGAGTGCCGTCTCTCAGCTACGGACACCTGGGACCACAGGAAGGACAGGCTAGGAACTGGAAGAGGCTCCGGGCACCACGCATTCAGGAACTGAGCTTTTCTCCCAGTCATCCTACGAGGGGCAGGTAAGGCTGAGAAAAGGGGAGACTTGCCAAGGACCAAAAACCAGAAGCCCAGCCGGGCCATCGCCGCTCTCCCAGGAGGGGTGTGACAGCGACTCCTCTCTGTGCTACCAACCTGAGATGTTCACGGAGAAGTAGGTGGTCTCACTGCCCGAGGGGCTGTTGGTCATGCAAGCATAAAGCCCGGAGTCCTCGGGGACGGCATCCCTGACCTCCACCTCCTCCCCTGTGATGCGCGTCCGGTTGTTTTCTGAGAGCTGGACCCCGTCTCGGACCCAGTTGATGCTCTGAACATCATCCCGCAACCTGCAGCGCAACTGGAGGAGGTCTCCAGGGTGAGCTGAGTGGGACTCCACTTCAATGCTTGTTTTGGGCAGAGCTGGAAATGTTAGGGGAGACAAAGAGAGGGAGAAAACAAGGGGGAAGCGAGGTATGAGGCATTATTCTGGCATCATGCAGGCACCAGGGTGCCGCGGCGCTCCTACAGCCACGAGATGCAGGCCTCAGCCGCCATGCAGGGCCTCCGGAGGCGCGAAAGAGCAAGGGTCTGCCGCCGAGGCGCTCGTTTCGATTCCTGCTGCGGTGGCACCGACGGGCACAGCGCCCAGTCTTTTAGTGAGTTATAAAACCAACTGCAGCTGCAAAGCGTCGTGCTGCGATGGGCCAGCGGCTGCCTCCAGCTGAGCCCAAGGTAAGACGGTGCGGTGAGGCGGGACTCCGACTCCAGCGGGAGCTGCGCCTTCCTGAAGCTCAGCGTCTTGCAAGCGGGCTGCCATGCAGCCTTCGGAGCAGGGGCGGCAAAGGAGAGGCAAGGGTTAAAAGCAGCTGCGGGGGGGAGCTTGCCCCTCATTTGTTCCTCCCACAACTGACAGGCCTGCAGGACTCCCCCCCCCCCCCCCCCCCTCCACCACTGCTCGGGGCTTACTCACACAGTGACAACTGAGAACCAAGAGATCTACTCTCAGCATGGGCAGGAGCAGGGACATCTTTTTGTGAGGGAACACTTGGATTTCTGTGCCTCTGCACTCTGACCTGTTCCAAGAGGTGGAAGGTCCTGGAGCAAAATACCTTCAGCCCCCACCTCCTCCTGCTTCCCTGCACCGCTGCCTTTTCCTCTCGTTGGCTCCCTAGCCGACCACTGCATCACCAGATCCCACTGCCGTGCAGGCCAGGGCAGGTGAGCAGGCAGGTTGCAAGGTGAGGAAAAAGAGCAGTCCGGCGGGCTTTTGTCTTGCTAGGTCCCCAACCTGACTTCTGATCAAGGCCCTGAGTTCTGTCATCGCATTTGCCATTTGCAAGAAACAGTAGAGTGCGCACAAGGAATTCATAGGCATTCGACAGCAACACTTTACCATCTTGATTCCTTTGCTGTTTCTTCAGAGAACTGTGAAACATGCCCAGCAGTGCTCAGACCCCCACAATTGTTTGCAGAGTTGTTCATCTCCATTTTCTTGGCTACCTCAAAACATTCCTACTCATAACAGTCATTCCATTTAATGCACAAGGAAGACCAAAAAAGTATAACCAAAGCTTCTCCCGCAGGTCCTTTCCCTGATGTAATTCATTTTTCCAGTCATAAGGACTAGAAACTTAATTTGTAAAACAGTATTAAATTTGAGAACCTTGGGAGAAAGAGCCTGCACTTCATACCACACTTCTCTGAAAAAAACACAGTTCTAAATAACCCCTGCTGAACAGAAAAGGCAGGCAATGTACCAGGCTGGATTGTATGCTGAAATTATTTGACCCAAGAGAGCACTTTGGGAAAGGACAGATGAGGGATGCTGTTTGGCTTGGGCTCAGATTGTAATCTCCACCATTTTTAAAGACAGCCAGCCATGGAGCTTTTCAATGGCGGAGCAGATTTTTTGCGCGTAGAAAGCCCTCGGTCCAGTTTCTGGCATCAGTGGTTGGAAAGATCTCAGGTAATGAGGCTGAGAAGGAGCATATCCTACATTCATACTTTGGCTGCCCAGATGTGGGGTTCTCGCTTTCGAAATCAAAAGGTGGCCTAACTGGAACATTCCAGAATGTCACAACAGGCGCCAAGAAACCAAATGGAGTCTGTTTGCTCTGGCTGCAAGGACGAGGAAGGCAGAAAGAATCGGTGTCTCGTTCACAGCAGGGGTGGAGTTGCGGGGAAAACTGGGATGAGAGATGGAAGCACCCACAACATCAAAAACCATTGAGGATGAACCTCTGTTTCCCCTTTTGCATCCAGAAAGATACTCATAGGCAGGCAGTGAGAAGATAGCACGTCACAATAACCCAAGTTGTTGCTGCTGTTCCAATTCCACAGGTGGGGATGGCGAACAGGTAAATCAAGAACTCGGCTCTTCTTCCCCCAAGCAAGCCAGAGAAACTGCCCATCTGATTCTTGTTCAGCTATTTCAGAGATTTGCCAGGGATGACAACCAGAAATATGTAATTATTTTAATTACTAGCAAGGTCTATGATTCTAGAATTGAAACAACACACTTCCCTTTTAATTATTTAATTAATAAATAATTGACAACAGACAGAAGGTCCCTGTTTTGTTTAGCCACCCCTACTTGAAATCCAGTTAATTTCAAAACACAGTTATTGTGACGTTTGACCCAGGCAATGTATATTTTAAAATCGGGGTCTCCGATATGATGCCCATTTATTTATTTTCACATTTACCGGCCGCTGAATAGTCTTAAGGGCTCCCTAAGCAGCTAACATTAAATAAAAAACATGCTCATCTCCCAACTGCTACCACATCTCCTGCCCAGTTTTTTAAATTTTTAATTAGTTTTTTCTTTTGCAGCAGGAGGTTGGAGCTTCAGTGGCATCTTTCTTTGGGTCCAAAAGAGCCCATGGAGCTCGGGCTCCCAATGCTTGCCTTTCTCTTAGATTCCAGGGCACGTGACGTCTCTATCACTCTCACCAGTTTGCCCTCAAGGAAATGAACTTTTTCTGACTGCTTATGCCAATCATGGCAGCCATTTTATGAATGCTCAACATCCCTCTACTGGCAGCCATTTTGTGAGAGTGCCCAAGGCACCATTCCTTCCAACTCAAAAAGATTGGGGAGCCCTGTTTTAAAACAACTTAAAAACAAGATATAACAGGCAGGCAAGCTCTCAGACAAAGCTGACATGCCCAAAGGTTCCTCTTATTTATTCATTTGTTTGTTGCATTTATATGCTGCCTCACAGCTGAAAGGCTCTCCAGGCAGCTTACAAGAAAGGTTCAAGTCAACTAAAACAACAGCAACTAAAACAATTGGTTAAAGCCATATAAAGGCCATAAAACAGCACAAAACAATGTGAGGTACAAAAACAAGATACAAAACTGGCAGTACTAAGAGAAAAAGTCCAATTAAAAAGACACGTGGCAAAAATATAAAAACAAGAGTTCAAAAACCAGGTTGGCTACTTAGCAGCTGCTTGAACAAAAAGGCCTTTACCTGGCCCCTACAGAGATCAATGATGGCGCCAGGCACACTTTCTTGGGCTCCATAAGTGAGGTGCCACCACAGAAAAGCCCCCGCTGTCCCCCCCCCCTTCTTTGGAGGGTGAAACATGGAAAGGATCTCTGTTCATCATCTTAGAAGATAGGGAGAAAGGTGTTCCCTCAGATATCCTTTCTGTCAGGTGAATGATTCTGGAGATATAGGAACTGAGGCAATAGCAGAACTGATGGCATCCTTAAAGAAAGATCCCATTTGGAGCTAGGGCAGTTCTCGTTGCCACTGTAAGTCTATTTTTAAGCCCTTTATGAATAATCAAGCAAGATGCACTTCCCAGATGAGCATAAATCAAACTCTGGGGCAAAGAGGTGGTCCAGATGCAGCCCTGGGGTGGGTGCCAGGTTTGAAGGCACTGCTTTAACTTAGGTTTCCCCCAAAATTTCCCAAAATGTCTTGGAGTGACATGAGTTCAGGGGCACCATGGGAAATCAAAATGGCAGCTTTGTGGGGCTACAGGGCAGGTGTCTGTGGTTGGTCGTGCCAGGATAACAGAGTCAAGTCAGGTTTGGCCTGTCTTGGGATTATTGACAAAAAAATAATAAAATGAACTGGGAAAGCACCTGCGATTCTGGCCTTCCAAATTCATTTCTCTCCTCAAAAGGAAGGAGATGCAAAAGTGAGACCTCATCCACACAATTGCTAGGTACAATTTCAGAGTGAGGGCCACCAAAACAGGTCTGTGCCCACCCCTTCTGTTACTCCTTCTTCACACAAGGTTCCATCAGAATCTGCCTCTTGAAAACCCTTCTCAGCCCCCAAACCGTTTTGAGCGTGTTATCGCCAGTGTTTCTGGACAATACGGCCCATTCCATTTGTACCATGCAAAAGTTGCAGCCGGAGCAGTAAACTTTTATGAAAAGCCCCGCTGCCGGGAAGGGTCAGCTTCAGGGGCGCTGTCCAGTTATTAAGTGCCATCCAGAGAATTCCAAGTTTGAGCCTATATTCACCCAGAAGGAAAGCAGCTGCCACAAAATCAAACATTTGTTTGGAGAGCACAAAGATCCTTTTTTCCCTTTTCAACCCACAGCTCCCCAGCTTGGTTAGTGTCAGATCAGCTAGTTCCTCAGTAACTCAGAAAGAAAAACAAGCGCGGAAGGGATGGGACCGAGGAAGAGGGAGAAGAATTCTGCTATCATGAAAAATCTGCTTGCCTGGACTCCACAGCAAGAGTAGCCTCCAGTTGTTTTAAGCCACGAATTCCATAGCCACAACCACTGGCTTGGGGTTGTGTGAGCTGCAGTTTAAGGCACCTCGAGGGAGCCAGGCTGCCCATCCAGGCTCCACAGAACCAGTTTCTTCTTTTTGCAGAACCCTGATTTTTAAAAAGCAAGTTTCTGTCCCTCATGAGAGAGAAAGGTCAGGGAGAATACAAGGGCTCTGAATCTAGAGACAGGAATTCTGCATCCCCTTTCCCAGTTCTTTTTAAGGGTTTGCCCCTTCCTATCCTTATCCTCACATTCATTCCATCTGCACAGCATCACAAATCCTGTTTCTTTGGCACAAGACTATGCTTTTATACACACTGTTAAAAATCTAGCTTAAGTGGGCAGCAGAGCAATGTGGAAAAACTGCACTGCACTTAATGTCCAATGATGGATATTCATACGGATGGATGGCTCACCACAATAAGCAACATTTGAAGACCAATTTTAATACTTCCTGTTTCACCTACTATTACAGTAACATACCAGAACCAAAATAGACTTGGAAAGAAGCAAAAGCAAACCACCAAACTGCAGCAGTGCCAATTAGACGTTGTTGATCAAATTTTAGTTAAATTTCCATGATTAACATGTGGCTTACAGAGACCACTTTTGAGACTGAACTTCGTGCACACAAAGCAGGTCAACCAGGCCTTAGTCTGCGTTCCATCAGAGTCAGAA